AGGACATCCTGAAACCAATCCACAGGAAGTGTTCAAGGGAGAGAAGAATGATGGAAAAAAGGCTTGAATAGATTTCTTACAACCTGAAATCAGAGAGGAAACTTCAGTGTTTCATCATTAAAAGGTCTTTGACTTTCAATGGACTTTTAGGCTGTGTGTAAAGCATTATTTCCCTTTGTAATTCCAGGTTAGCAACTTTAAGATCTCTTTTCAGAAGCTGAATTATCCAGAACTGACAGCTTGTTATATGACAGCAGAGAATTACAAGAAAATATAAAGCAACAGGACATTACAACAGCTACAAAAATGTAAATCATTTGTATAACTCCTTTGGGGTGTTGATAAAGGACCCAGGGTTGTGATACCTCTATCTCCAATAAAAGGTTAGAAGTGGGCCAGCATTTCAGCATAGTGCATTCCCCGATGCTGTATGGTCAACAGGTTCTATTTACCTAAGGGCAGATGTATTTTGATTCTAAAACGTTTGAGAGTCCTTCACTGTTTACCGTCATGTCCATTTAAAAGATCTAGGGAAGTACTGAAATGAGGCTCTTAACTTAAGTAGCAAAACTGAATGCCACAAACACCAAGAAAATCTAAATGGTCATATTCAAAGTGAAAACTGTAAAAAGGCTATATCTGTGATGGCTGAAATGTTAAAGTAGGAACTGGGGAGTGGGACCAAGCGTCATCCAAAACCTATATAGACAATTTGTGTTTTTTATTCTTTAGTCCAGTCAGCGTGGTCTGTGTTTTTCTCAGATAAGACATTACCATTTTTTTTTAAAAAAAAAGAACATAGTATCCTCTACAATTTTTTTGGAACTTTTACTGTTTTTTTTTTTAAAACCCAAGAAGGTGAAAAATTGTTTGGAGTTTTATATAAAGATGTTCTATCTCTAATGACTGACCTGTATAAAGTGTTATAACTAAATTAAATCACATCTCCGCCAATTTTATAGATTTTCTCTGCACGATCTCCGCTGAATGTACAGCGACAGTTATACATAAGTTTAAGCTTGCTGTTAAACCATTTTTAAATCTTACTGTAAACTAGCTTCCAAAGGAAAAAATAGGTTATACAGCTGCACCAGTATAAATTTTATGAATTTGTGTAAATACTTGACCATAATTTGTGAAAAACTGCTATACATTCATAGTAAATATCAATTTCTATGCATCTTTGTCACCAACAAAAAAAATACATAATTGTGCCAAGACAATAAAAAGAAAGTATCATTATTAAGGAAGAAAAAAAAAGTATGAATTGAAACTCAGGATATCATATATTCAAAGTATTTAAAAAAGGTTCAATTGTTCTTACCAATACCTGTTAAAAAACATTTTAAAGAAGAGTTTCAGAAATAATCTTTAAGAAAATGTTAAAAGGGAATGTGTTAACCACAGTCCTACCAAATCCTGCATTTGCTAAAAATCCATTTTTGCAAATGGTACGTGTTAGAAATGCACTTTGCAAAGTGTGTGGAAATATTTGTCCAAAAAAAACGTATAATTGGAATGAGAACATACTAGCTGCCTTAGTTCATTGCTTTATTTTTAATAATAATTTTTCAGTCTTGTAATCAATCTACTGTCTATGGTGCAATTTGGACCAATACATTTTGCAAGCCTTTTATGAGCTTTGGTAACCATCAAAAAACCCCAATTATTTCAGTTGAAATCTATTGGATAACTGATGACCTTGTAGGATTATTTTGAAAATTAAATTCTCCACCATCAAATGTTTCACTGCTTTCCTGTAGATTTTTTTGTAATACAGAGCAGGACTTCCTGCGTGACCTCTGTATTTCTTTAATGTCAACAATTCAGCAAAAAAGTGTTAAAAATCAGAACTTTATTAAGTTTTCTCTAAAACAACAAATGACAAAATAACCAATACAAAAGCATATTCCTTATGCTTAAACAGTGATCTCACAAACATACGTTTACTTCCAAAAGTAAATGATTCCAGCACTTAAGCCTTTCAGAAAATCTTCATTTTCGAAGTCTCCCTGTTTTCAGCTCAACAGGGAGAGGCAACGCAAGACGTTTTCTCTCTTCAGATATCGGTTTCCGAGAAGCCAGACTTCACTAGTTGGTCATCATGCGGGGCGCGATGCTCATGGACATCAGCTCCTGGAAGAGGAGCTTGCAGGCGTAGGGCATTCGGACCAGAGAAATCTGCGGACGGAGACAAGCGCGTCGTGTTAGCAATTAACGCAACAGGAATGAGGGGCACCAGCCACGGGGCGACAGTTTCTTTTCTTCGTTTTAACATCAGGGAAGGAAACAAGACTCGCGACTCCCAAGACGCTGACCAAAGAAAACGTACCTGTGTTTTGTTACGACACCCTCGGCACTCGTAGGTGTGCGTCCTCGTGTTGGCGATGGCCATCAGCCCGCACAGGTTGCACACGTGGACCTGGTACGGGTCAGAGGCTTCAAACAGTCTTTCCCTCAAAAACTGGGCGGCTCCATGAGCAATCTGACAGTCGCGCTCCATCTCCCCGAATCGCAGGCCTCCATCGCTGCACACAGGACAGGAGCACAAACCTAGTCAGGCTGTGGGTCTTTCTTTTCAGACGCAATTGACTCCAGACTGAAGGCCCTGACTAATTTTGCCGAGACAAACTCCTATAGTTCTGAAAGAATGGGAATGTTAACCGTGTCACATCCTCACCGAGATCTACCCTCCATGGGCTGTCTGTTGAGGATCTGAACTGGCCCGCGAGCCCGGGAGTGGATCTTGTCGTCCACCATGTGCTTCAGACGTTGGTAATAGGTCGGGCCAATGAAAATCTGGGAGGTCAGTTTGCGGCCAGTGAAGCCATTGTACAATACCTGAAAAACAATCAATGGCATCAATCTGAACAATTTCCTACACCCTCACAATGAAATAACTCTGGGCAGTACATTAAGGTGGATGATGCACCTCTATGCCTTCCTGCGACATCTTTTGGGCTGACAACTGTTCATAAAGTACAAGAAATTAATTGAAATTCAGCAGCAACTAAGAACTATACATTTTATTGCAACACAACAGTGCACTGCTTACATGAAGATTATGCAGGTTTAACAGCAAGCATAAAATATTTTGATATCTTATTGTGTACAAGCTTCCAAATAAACAATATACATTAGGTTATACTGCTGCACCAGTATGAATGAATTCTATGCATTAATTTTCCTAGGAGGAAATACTACTATACCTCATTTCCCCTCAGATGATAACCGTATTCGGAGAGCAGGTTAGAAACCTTCTGCACGTTGACAGCATCGTTGAAAGGTGTGGCATCGCCAATCTCCCCCTTGTTCGCAGACACCTGTTCATAATGAAATCCCTTAGACATCATGTATTCTCTAGTCACAGCTGAAAACACTTGTGCTTAAATATATAAAAATGCCCCTCTTTCTTAGAGTGCAAGAACACTATTTCTCTCCACACATAAAAGCGGTTTCCAGAGAGTCTAATGCAATACCTTGCCCTGAAGACACTCGATCAAGTGGCCGACTGTCATTCGAGAGGGGATGGCGTGAGGGTTGATGATGATATCAGGAGTGATTCCTTCACAGGTAAAGGGCATGTCCTATGCAAGAAGTAATCAACAGACAGAACAATGTTACCACAGCAATAAAGTCATAAAATACTCCACCTCTATAGGGAATAGCTGTTCCTTGTTCACCCGGACTTCTTCCAGTTCAGACTTCTCAAATTTCACCCTTTTGCATCAAATGACCCAAACCAGGCTATAATGGGATAAGATGAATGTTTCATACCAGTCACTTAGGAAACACTGCATTCATTCTATCTATAATTGAATCCCCTCCAGGCCGCTTGGAAAAACAGATTATTGTTTGATGATAAAAGTTGCCCTATTTTGGCAGGTTCCACAGCAGACTTGTTAGTATTCCTAGTTCCTTGGCTTCTCCGAGACATTACAGTATTGTACCTTCACATAAGCACGTAGAATTAGTATTTCCCCCTTTGATGAGCTTTTTATATTCTCAGTTTGTTATATTCTCTCTAGCCTGGAATTTCATTTACCAGATGTGAAATATGGCAATTAACATTCCAGCTAATTAACTACTGGAAGGAATAAATAAGTTCAGCTCCACTGAAAACCAAAAGCTCTAAGAAACCAAATGAACCGTTAAAAGATGTGGGAATGCAAAGGCCATCTAAGTAATAAAAATAAAATCACAGAGAACATTGGAATATATCAGAGAGAACACATCTGCACTCTGAAAAGACAGCGTTTCCCTTTTCTCTGGGAAGCTTAAAGTCAGTCTCAACATAAATCTGTTGGAAGTGGATATCAGAAGTGCCGTAACTCCAGCTCAGCTGTGTTTGTTTCATGTGTAGGAACAGATATTCTCATCATTACAAATTATAGTCAAGGTTAGTATCTTGCTCATAAAACCATTTCCTTAAAAATGGCAGATTTTCAAATGCACTCCTCTCTTAGGTACCCATACATTTTTTCCTTGGTTCCCTTTTTACTTCTATATTAGCAGAATCAGAATGTGACACTTTCTAGATACGGTAAGTATTTTGTTCCAATATGCAATATAACATTTCCATAGTAAACTGCAGCCCAGTTTCACTTCCCTTAATTGAAATATTTTGCAAGAATGTTTTGCATTTAGCCCAAAGTATATAAGGGGCACAGAAGCGGTCAGCTATGGACAGGATCTTCCATAGAGAGTGTATCTGGTTTAAGTTCACAAAGAATGCATTTCTGAAAATAAACAAGGGAAGTTGATGCATTGCACAAATAAGCTTTTACCTCTTGTCTGTACTGGATCCCACAAGTACCTTTCTGCCCATGTCTACTGGCAAACTTGTCTCCAATCTGGGGGATTCTAACTGACCGCACCTGTGGATTCACAGAAGAAAAACGCACACCGCTGAAAAATACAGCAACGTCCTTGTAAACAATAAGCAAGCACAGGGCTATTTCTCTTTGTGACCTCAAGACCATTTCCAGCCATTTCCTTGTGATAATTGAAAAATAAGAGAAATTAAACAAAAGCTGGGCACACCTGTAACAAGCGCTGAGATAGAAAGAAGCTTTTCCATTTCAAGATCATCCTACAGCCCAAGATTGTGTTGTCAGTAAGTGGAGAAACTTGAGGGTGGCAGACTCACCCTTATCTTACAGAACTTGTACCCCTCCTGGTTGAGCGTGACCATGACCTGGTCCACGATGCCGGTCTCGCTGGTGCGCAGGAAGGTGCTGCAGTCTCTCTTGGTGTAGCGCCGGTTGGTGCTGTCCAGCTCATCTTCATTCTCCGGCAGCGTGACCGTCTTGCCGATGATCACGTCCTCCCCGGACACGCGCACGCCCGGCGCGATCAGCCCGTCGTCGTCCAGCTTGTCGTAGATGGCGTGCCTCATACCTGATGGATCAAGGACACCCCCCCCCACCCCCCTTTTGTCAGTTCTTCTTCTCAATCTGAAATTCTACGGTGGCAGTTTGGCTCTTTTTCTAAGTTGGGCTTTTTATTATCCAGTGACTACAACCGTGGCAAGGGGCAGAGAGGACTTCACTGGCAGCTGGCGGTAATGAAAACTGCAGCAATATTATTTATTCCTCCCGAGATATTGAGAAGCAGATCCAAGTGTATCCAATGTATGAAAAGAAAGAAGCAGAAGGGTACCATCAATGCGATTTCAAATTCCAAGATGTTCATCAAATGAATACAACTTGGATTTATCAAGCAAAACTATAAATCAACAATAAAAAATATATTATAAAGCACTGGGGGGATTACTTTCATACATTAATATATCCAGACCAAAACAGGTTGAGGACCCACATTAATGCCACAGAGTCTTTACCTGGTACAACAAATTGTTTTGCAATTCTTTTCTTTTCCTTTTCTTTCGGAATAAGGGCAATTGAGCTTCTTTCTTTATTCCTGTATTTTACTACTATATACACACTTTTCTACACAAAAGTGTTTTTCTTTAATACAAAGTTACTACTTGAAAAGCACTGCTTGGGAAGAGGGGGAAGGCATTCATATTAATCTTGTATTTCACCATCTGTTTTAAACTATCCTATACTGGTCTTACAGGCAGGGCCTTCAGGACAGCATCACATTATTTTATGCAGTCAGTCTTATTATAGTGGAGGCTAATTCTATAAGATCACAAGGCACTGAGGTAGTTATTAACGGGAGCAAAGAGAATTAACTCACCCTGACACGTCTCACGAGTTGGCTTCTCAAAAATCTCCTCTTGATCAAAGCCTTTCTTTGACTCCTGTTCTTTGTATGAGCGGTAAAACACAGATCTGTACAAACGAGACATTTCAGTATTTAACCCGGCATGGAAAGCTTCACCTTTTTGTAGGTATGTGTGATGTCTCTGCATGGTATGAGAATTATTTTCTTCCCGGGAGACAGGTTTACACTTCACATCTTTTTTACAAGTTTTCAGGAATAGATACAGGAACTACACTAATCCTGAATCACATGTACAGAATATCACAAAGATTATCTTTGTTTTAAATAATGCAGGAGTCCCTTTTCTTGCTGCAGTAAAAGGAGATGATGGTAATCACATATAATATCAATTTAAAAGTGTTTTGGCATATCCTAATAGGGCAGAATTTCCAACCTTTTCTATGAAACACTGGTGCACTTTTCAGAACGTTTTGAGTTGATGAACAATTAAATATTACAATTCCATTAAATTGCACCAAATTCTACATGGCTTTCAAAAGTTAAATCAGAGAAACAACTTCTGCCAGTCTAAATCAACAAAACATTAAGAATGTTCACTTTTCTTCATGTCCAGGGGTATCCCTTCACATGTTGAAATTCACTAAAGAATTAGCAAACCACCAGATCCATGACTTTCTGACGTGACCTGCACATTCACTGCACATATTGTTGAGCACAGTGATTCAATCCATAAAACCACTGAGAATGCAAGGCAGCAGGTACAGTACATCTGGGATCAGGTACTTCCCTTGACCAAGAGCAGAGATTATGTGCTGTGTGTTTGTTTTGCCCAAGTGCATATTACTACACTGTTACTCAACAGTACTATTTCAGCTTGCGTCTGATTACTGTTATCACTGAAGCCAGGAGACAACATGAATAGGCAGCCAGACCTGAAAAATCCTCTGTCCACCGCAGATCGGTTCATGATGACCGAGTCCTCCTGATTGTACCCAGTGTATGATGCAATTGCAACAATAGAATTGATTCCTGGAAGAACAAAATCGAATGGTTCTTTGAGCCTCTTGGAGTGGGACTTTTCTTTTGAGTTAAGGAATGCATCAGGATCAGTGGAGTAATTCCAGGGTTGCAGTATCTTTTTTGCAATGTGGTGATCAAAATCACATGGAGCGGATATCACACAGTATTCTGTTGTCTTAATATTACTTGTGCAACATGTACTTAACATAAAGTTGATTTAAGTTCTACATTTAACTATCCTAACATCCTATTTGCTTTTCTATTTGAAGAAATAAATAATGGATCGACAAAAAGACCCAAGTCAAATCTCCGATTTCCAGTTTATATAATGTTTGCTACCTGCATTTAACACTCTGCGCTGGCCTGATTTGAAGGTCAGCGGCCAGATTTCAAGACATCTGTGTAATGAATTTTCCTGTTTTTTGGACTACCGTTATACATCTTCATTTCAGATCTAGGTTCTGTCAGGTCAAAGTGACGGAGACTTTCAAACTTCCCTTCAAGCACGTGTCCGACTTTATCACTGCCGCACGGCAGTCGTTCGCACAAAAACGTTGCACTACAAAGCCTCGACACTCTGGCCATCATTTCTTTAAATTTCCGTCCCAGTTCTTTGCACATTTTGAATGTGGACCAGCGGCGCGACAGCCCTCACCCGCAGGGAGCTCCCTGAAGCGCAGGTACTCCATGGAGCGCGTCGTCACCAAGGGCTTCTGTGGGTAGTAGAGCACGTGGGCCAGAGTGTCCATGCGCACGTGGAAGTTGGTAATGTACACACCCATGGCTTGTTTACCCATAGCAGACTGGTACGTATTTCTTGGTGACTAAACAGGGAGAGAGGGGTGGGAAAAAAGAAATTAGCAAAAAAAACTGAGAAAATTAGAAAGCGGGGGGTTCCAAAGTTGTTTCTTCTGTGTCACAGATCTAATATTGTGACTACAAGTACCTTTCCTAACCCAAGGACGCTGTACATGATGAATAAAAAAAAATACAGTGAAAGTAAATGAAGGAAAGCATTCAGGTTTTTACAGATGTGGGCAATCAAACATAGACCTTTGTAAAAGTGAAGTTTTTCAGTTTAGATTTAAAGAGAGTTAAAGAAATTGGGTCTCTTAAAGTCTGAGGAAGGCCATTCCACAACTCTGGGGCAGCAACAGATAGGGCACGCTCACCCATAGTCTGTGATTTAGTCCTGGCGACAGTGAGTAGAGGACCAGCCTCAACTGAACGGAGTCTACAGAGGGGGAGTGTAAACATGGAGGAGTTCATAGATGTGTGATGGAGCCAGATTGTTTAGAGCCTAGAAAGTCAACAACTAGATCTTGTATTGAATATGTGACTTGATTGGCAACCAATGTAAAGACTTAAGTGCAGGAGTGATATGCTGCCAGGGTCTGGTGTGAGTTAGTAGTCCAGCTGCAGAGATCTGAACGTACTGCAACCTGTTGAGAAGAGAGTTAGGGATAATATCCATTTATGACTACGACAGTCTTCTGTTCAGCACAAGAAGTACTTATGCTATGGGCTAATAAACGGTATTCCCCTCTCTTGTGCTAGAAAAAAAAAAAAAGACAAACCAGCATAAATGCAAAGACGAGCCATACCTGGTTGTGATCGGGAAAAGGGATGATCGAGGCACAGACTCCCAGGATCATAGAGGGGTGGATCTCGCAGTGGGTATATGTGGAACAATAGGCCACTCCCTTCTCCTGTAAGTCATCAGGCGTCATGGCCAACATCACCGTCTCCTCCTCCAGAGTGTCAATGTACTCTACCACCCCACTTGCCACCAGGTCCTGCCAGCTGGACGTGAGAATACAGACATCGCCCTGAATCTCATGTGGTGGGTTAAAAATGTTTAACTTCGGAACAGAACGATTGGTATTGCCATGTAAGTACGAGCCTGTGATACACGCAGTATGGTGTATCTTAACTTTAATTTTCACTTTAAGTTTCACTTTAATTTTCCCTTCTTGCCCAAGTTGGGGTTTTTCCTTGGTTCACCCCCTCTTGTTCCAAGGGGATTGTTACCCCGGTTACTTTTCAATTGCAATTTATTTTATTCCTTGGCAAAATTTTTTTTTCAATGATTCTCTTCACTGATTATAAAATAAAATATATTTATGCTGCAGTAAGAAATGAACATTTGTCAAGCTGTCCTCAGCTGACACACCTGTAGTTATTGTACTCCCTCTCCTTCAGCTGGTCAATGTGTCTTCTTTTCAGGAGCAGTTTCTGCTTCTCTACAATCAGCAGAGGCCGACAGATCCTCCCGGCATCGGTGTAAATCCGGATCTCTCGCTCGCGGATATCTCTGATCATAGATACCTGCAACAGACAGAAAGGGGCTTCAGAGTCACGAGCTGTCTGGACAGTGCTATAATGGATTCTGGCAGTTTAAATCTTCATGAGGCAACTAGGTCCTTACAATTAATATGAACATACGCCCCCTAGAACTTTTAATCTTGGTTTTCTGATGCAACAAAATTTAACATTAGCACATAGCTCTATAACCATGGATCACATAAACCTAGTTTTTCCTGGGAGAGGCTTTTACATTTTTTAAATCAGCATAAAAAAAACTGAAGGCAGAACTGGGAATAAATTTACATTACGGGACTGTCTTTACCAGTAGATGTCCTGCATGGGCACAGGTTTTTATTTTTCTAAAAGCACAAAAACTAAACATACTGCAAAAGTTATTTTAAACAACAGGCTGCTGTGGAATCATGCCGGTGTTCGTCACCTCTGACACAATGATGTCCATCTGACGGCGCAGCTTCCTCAGCGTGTTCATCAGCTGTTCGGGGTCTTTGTGGATTCCTACCCAGCAGCCGTTTACAAAAATCTTGGTCGCACTGTAATGACATGACGTTCACAAACCATTAACAAAGCACAAAGCTTTTTTAGTAGGCAGATGACTCTAACACACAGTGTCACAATCCTAATTTAATACTGTATTATCCGATTCCAATTTTTTTTTTTACACATTACGTTAAACAAAGGGGAGAGTGATTAAAATCACTGCTGTCGAAGCTCATCACTGCAATTGCTGGTCTATGGAAGATGTCAGTACTGACTCGGCGATAGCAGCCGGGGAGATCTCTTCAAGGTTCTCCATACTCCACTCCTCCAAGAACTCAAGGATAGGGGAGGGCTGGGAACCCACAGAGATGTAGGCCATCAGAGCCAGGTTCTTCACGAGCCCCACAGCGTGTCCCTGGATAACGGAGAAACCATGACTAAACAGTCCTGTCCACACCCAGTTCAATCACATTCTCAAAACCTTTCAAACATACAGACTGCTGTTGCAAACCTAACACCACCACTTCTAAGGAACTCCTCCATGACATGACATAAGACCTACCAACAAATGAATAGTCCTACTTCCCTACAACAGAAGAAACAATACCCCCCAAGAATAGTCACCACTGCTGTATAAATGTGATGATACATAAAACCTCTCATAGAAAAAGCACAACAGCACGATTTACAAGTCTAACGAAGTCGGGTGAACATAGGTGCTTATTTTATAAGTCATAAGACGCAGAGATACATAGAATTAATTCATACCGATGTAATAAAGAAAGGAACTCATTCAACACATTAAGGTCTGGACATCCTACCTCTGGGGTTTCAGCTGGGCACACCATGCCCCACAAGGTGTTGTGGAGCTGTCTGGGTTTGGCCAGCTTCCCGTCTCGACCAATGGGAGAGTTCACACGCCTCAGGTGCGACAGGGTTGAAGCAAAGGTCAGGCGGTTCAACACCTAAAATAATAATTCCACGTCACAACTCTCCCACACTGCATTAGAGAAAGTTCACATCTTGATTCTGCCCGATTCCTAGAGAGGACTACCCAGAAGGACAGGCAATGTTCTGCTATGCTCAAGCAGGGTGGACAGTGAAAATTAATAGGCTAGTTCAGTTAGCCTGCTCTAGGTCATGAGATAAGTGCCAAAACAAAGACCTGCAATCTCTAAGATTCTGGACATATCCTGCACACCAAGTGGGGTGTTTCAGTCCAGTTAGCCTTTCCAAATTCATACTTCTTTTAAAACTGAATATTACAAAAACCTAAGTTTCTTCTTTAGTGTTTCATGAGAAACAATTGTGTCCAATGGCCTTATTAAAATCTCCTGATCAAAACCTTGAACAATCCTATGAAAGCCTTTATTAAAAAAAATTCAAAAGCATTTCACACTTGCTCTCAAGCAATGTGGGAATTTGTTCATATACTTCATGCAATCACAAGCTGGGTCTTGGCTGTAGACAGAGCATCATTCCTCCTCCTTCTCTCTCCGAGACCCACCTGAGACACTCCAGCTCTGGCCTGATGGGCCTTCTTGACATCTCCCCAGTTCCCTGTGGCCAGAGAGTACTTCAGCCCATCTGAGATGATGCGAGTCTTAATAGCCAACTCCAAGTTAAAATCCTTCCCCCGGTCAATGAACTTCTGGGCGTAGATTCGGATCTCCTTCAACAGATTCTTAAACATTCTGAGAGAAATAAAGAGTAGGAGAGAAATTAAAATAAGAAAACCCTGATTATTTATCAGCAGCTCTGTAACTATCAGTGTGGGAATTACTTTGCTGCACATCATGTCTGTTTACAAAGAACGTACTGAATTATTATTCCAACCTACTTATGTTAACCTTCTTACAGATATCAAGTCTGTTCTTGAATATTTCAACAGCATTTAAAACACGTGCTTTATGACCATGCTATGACCTTTGAATTCAATGAGAAACTGTGAGATTTGGAAAATAGCAAAACCAATATAGTATAGTTTGTATAGTCTTTATTGAACACTGCAAAGATTAGCCCCAAAAATATGAGAAATGCCAAAAGAGATCTTACGTGAAAACAAAGCCACAAGATAACCATTCTCTCAAGGACTCAATGCTATTTCTCAAGGCCTGAACAAATATTTTACCGAGTTATTTTGAGAGAGCTGAGAGATTCTCACGGAAAAAAGACATTTATGTTGTTCGTTCATTAATATTTAAGCCAAGAAAAAAACAGCAATCAGTGGGTATTTCTTTTAACATGTTATAGCAACACCAATCAGTATTCAGTGTTAAGTAAGTCTCTTAGGACAGAACCGATATAAAATCAGGTCCAGAACTGTTTTTCAAGTGGACATAAACGACAGAAAATTTAGAATATAAATATTTTGTATAAAGGAACACAAGAAAAATAACATGCAACATTCTTCTTTATGATTAACACATCTGGTAAACAACCTCCTCTTACTTACTCATACGTTCTTATATTTGCTTATTCTTTTTCAATGGGAAGCGTGCGACAGTAACGGAAATACTACAAACAACATTAAAATCAGGTATCTGACAAGTCAATGAAGGACAAATGTACCATATTCGGATCTTCAGAAATTAGTTCCTAAGCAAACTGGACCATTTTGACGCGCTCGTTGGAAAAGTGAAGCCAACCGCTGATCTTACCCGCGAAACAAGAAAGCAAGAAGCGGCCCCGCCAGGTCCAGCCTCTTGTTGCCATAGTGATCTCTGTCGTCCAGCTCTCTCCTGCCTAGAGCGGCCAGGAGCAGCCTGTGGACCATATACCTGAAAGCACAGAAAAAAATAACACGGTCAACTTTCAATTTTCCTTTCAGATAAAAACACGCTTTAAAACAAATCTCATTTTGTACACATTCCCTTAATTTCAAAATTTATAGTTTGTTCTGGGGGTACATGTTCGCTTGCTTTCAGATTCGTATTCTGCAAAGAGGTTCAACTCTTCCCATTCAAAAGTTGCTTGAAAATTGACCCCCGCATTGGACTTCTGAAGAAGGAACTAAGTTTTTATGAGTGGTTAAATTGAGGTGAATTCGTTGGAAACAACATCCTTTGAAGTAGTGCATTTTTTAAAATCTCAGCGCTGAATGCAAGTAGATATACTATAGATGTTATTTCACACTAGTGATGCTGGCTCCTTTCGAATGGAAACCTGCAGACAGTTGTCTGTCTACCAAGCTGGGAAACCCCGAGAGCTTAATTTTCTTACAAGAAATTCTGCGTTTTACCAATGAATGGGCCATAATCAGGTATTACAACAAAAAAGGTTACTTGTGTACTTCACCACAGCTCCTTATCAACCGTTTATCATTTAATAATACAAAATCACACCTCACAATTCTGACAAAAGTAAAGAGGACAACTAAATAAACTTCTCCTCTCATGAGATGTTAACGTATTTTTCATTGTTTATGATTTCTATAACTGTCATCTGGTTACCCTTTCCAAAATCTATGAATGTATTTTCCCGGGGAACAAGAATCATTATAAAACACCACCACGAGGTACGAAGCTCTAATTCCTACCCTAAGAAGTAAGCCTTCTTCGTCTCGCAGAAGTCGCTGACTCCCACGTGTGGCAGCACTTCTTTCTGCAGCACCTCCTTGGCATATTTAATTCTCTTCTCCTTGGTAACCCCGGGCTTGGCACCTCGAGAGCCGATGAAGTTCAGAGCCACGTTCTGTTCCTGAATCACAAAGGCCTCGTCCAGGGAAGGCTTGACCTGGCCAGACACAGATTTGGATGGAAAAAAAAAATCATAAAAATGTCAAACCTTTCAAAACAACAAATTTGCCTTTTGGACAAGTTTACATTTAATGAAATAGATTTACAGGATATTCATGAGGTGATGTAGTTTATTATGGACCAATAACCTAATTCTTATTGGATAGGCAGGATGGATGAAACATTTATCACCCATTTAGTTCCTTCCTTGTGCTCTGGGTCACTTGAAGACCAAAACAAATAGGTTGATAAAGAGGTCTTAAATATTAGGGGTGAGATTTTTACCTCATCTGGCAGAGAGTCAAATTTCAACAAGTAATTAAGCTGCATTTCTTCTGTTGCACTCATATATTGATGAATATATCAGACAACTGAAGGGATCATCTCTAGCATGAGTATTTTAAAATATTATGAAATGTATAAACAGGTCTCCCCTGTCTTACAAGGCAGTTGTGGTTTACTCGGTTTCACATTTACATGAAGATTTGATACTAACATTTCAGCAAGTGGAACCAGCAACACATACTGTCTTGGGTCGTCTTGTACCACACATGTGCCACACTGCGTCCCCTACATTGTCACTGTATTCTCTCATCTGCTTCATGTTTGTGAAATACTACTTAGTGAGAAACCATGGTTCCTAAGTGTGCTACGAGTGAGAAGGCACCAGTAAGTAAGCACTGTTAGTAAGAGTTCAAGATCTGTAATGTCTTTAGGAAAGAAAAAAGAAGTGATGGACTGGCCTTAGAAGATGTATCATGTGCTTGAGTGGTAGATTAAAGGGGGTGAAGCAATCTATATGCACAATTTGGAAAAATTAATTATCAATTGGGGCTGGTGTTGCGAGTGGCTTTATCTAAAATTCAATTTCCATTGTATTAATGTACGGGAAATGATATTATAATATATATACCAATATTTAATAAGATTATAATGCAGTTCCTTATACACATTACTGTGTATTTAAGAAAACGTGGGTGTTATAATGAGATTTACAAGTCAAATCCAGGCAATGTGAACCTAACTCCCATTTTTCCCCATATACCTAAATATTCAATACATGCAACAGCTGGGTTACCGGTAACGATTCACCAGTGCAAGAAAAAGGGAAAGATTTTATCCATAATAAATCTATCATTTACTGCAAACATATCAAACACTTGCAACATTTTCTTAAAGCATGGACTGCAATCCATGGTACACTAAGAACATTACACTCAAAAGGTACTGTATTTAAAATGAATGCTAAAAATGCATGTGGCACAGAAAAAACATGAAGATAAATTAAAAGATTTTCATAAAACCACACAACAACAAAACAAAAGTCACCATTTCCATCATTTCTGGATCATCAAAGTCATAGATGATGTGCTCCAGGATGTCGCGGTCAGACACGAAGCCCAAGGCGCGGAACACGATGATTATGGGCACTTCCTGCCTGATGTACGGCAGAGTGGACACGATTCTCTGGCCAATGGCACTTTTCTTCACACCCTGGTGAATGAGGTGGGTGAACAAATGTGAAAATTTCACCAAAATGAAAAAGGACATTTTTTGACAGTCACACACGTGCCTCTCCCAGGTGTTTTAACTCCATGGGGGGGACACTTAGTATGACCAAAAGTGTCCAGCAGCCCAGTGCTGCCCCAAGCCCTAGTCTCACCTGACCACCTCTGGCCATCATGCTGACCCAGATGGAACTGGTGGGACGGGAAGAGTTCTCCAGACAGGACCGGCATTCTGCGGTGTAGGCGTACTTGGAATCCTTCTTGGCAAACACATACACTGTGTTTGTGGCCATCTTCTCCTGAGCGATCAGAACCTGCAGCAAAAAAGGTGCATAGCACCAAAATCATGAGCTGGGCCACAGTATAAATACCTGCGAATTCAGCTTCAGATAAAACTATCAAGACTTTCTAATCCAATATTCATCCAGCTGTTATTTTATTAATGACTAATTACTTGTCTACTGAATTAGTTGACACATTTCCATGTATTCCAAGTACACTTCAAAAGAAGAAACTACACAACATACATTTTTAAAAGAAGTATTTTTAGAGCTGAACAGTTGTTGGTTTGGAACCAAAGAGGACAGATCTGGGGGGCAAGAGGTTGTGTCAAGATCTGGCCCATTTCAAGTTCTCTCCATGTATGAATTCCGCTCTTCAAAAAGAAGCTAACCAGACAATCTACAATGTTTTTTTTTTGAAAATCTGCAGATTTTTATTAACAATTAAAACATTAAATACTTCTGACCGATGCCAAAGACTTGACTAAAGGTGTCCCTATTGCTGTTATAGAGTATGAAAATCTTTGTAAAACACCACTTCACATGAAATGTCTGTCCATCGGCTGTGCTCAGCTGGACAGGATTATTCCTTTTACCTTTTCTGATCCGTTAATGATGAAATAGCCTCCCGGGTCCAGGGGACACTCATTAAGCTCACAGAGATCACGGTCTGTCAGCCCACTGAGTAAGCAGTAGGTGGAGCGCAGCATGATGGGAATCTTTCCGATGAAGGTTTTCTGGTGCTGCGTCTGCAGCTGCTCCTCCCCTTCCTTGATGATGGTTTTGGTGATATCCACATAGAGAGGAGCAGAGTACCTGGGCCAGGAAAAAATAATTGTGAACATCAATAGATTCAGAAGATAATAATTGCTTACACTTATATAGCGCTTTTCTGGCCACTCCACTCAAAGAGCTTTACACGTAATGAGAAGTCCCCTCCACCACCACCAATGTGCAGCACCCATCTAGATGATGCAATAGCAAACACAGTGCACCAGTACACCCAGCACACACCAGCTATCAGTGGGGAGGAGAACAAAGTGATGAAGTCAGAGATAGGGATTATTAGGAGGGTATGACTGGTAAAGGCCAGGATGAAATTTGGCCAGGACAATGTGCCAAACCCCAGTGTTTTGTACGATACAAACACAGCAATGTTTTGGGTCTGACTTGAATTTCATATCAAGATAAGGAACGCAAAAGAAAGGACACATACACTCCACTAGGTTAACAGTTTATACTAGTCATTTACGTAAACTAATCACTCGTGACCAGCTGTGAAGTCGGCCACTTGCTATCCTTCGAACACCTGATGTCAGTTCATGCACACCTTCTCCAAAGGTAGTACTCTTTACTCTCTACTCATTTTTATCCGACTGACCCTTTAAACCAAACCAATTTACAATGGAACTCAAAACTGGGTATTTTTACATCCTTTTATTAATTTTCCAACAAAATTCAAATACCATCCATCATTGAAAAACAATAAGATTAAGAGAAGAAAAAAATCCACCATGAAATAGTATACAATAAAAGAAAGATAAAGATAAAAAAATTATCTCCAGTCTTCAACTAGTGACATCCATCCTGTCCTCTCCTCCACATTCAGTCATCCCCCCACCATCCACCCTAACCCCTCCTCCCTCAGTTTGGGGAACCCACAGAGGGATTCACTTTCATACTCACTGACCCTTAAGCAACAATTCTGTTAATGCCACTGGCAAATACTCTGTAACAGGTGACCATAGTTTATGATCTTCTGTTCTCCTATGGAAACTGCACTAAGCCTTCCATAGGGCAGTACACTACAACATTCACCATACCAAAATGTAACAGAGGGTGTTTTTCTTAAACCAGTTGGTTAAAATACATTCCCTTAATAAGAGAAATAAATTATCCAGAAATTGATATTGTGATGGGAGAAACGTTATTTTAGAAGGTAGACCAGAAATGAGGAGCCCAGTGTCCAACTTTATTTTAAAATGGAAAAATATCAAAGCCAGGTATTGTTATTGGAGTACTTCAGGTGAATTCCTTTGGTCAAAGGTACAAACAGCACTGTCTCAGCTGGAGTTTAACCTTCCAGTTTCAGAGACCTAACCCCTGCTGCACAATGCTGCTCTAGCTCTCAAAAAAACCCTGGTGTGAAGCACATTTCTGCAACAGCAATGGACAAAACTAAACAATGTGGGGGATCGCATCAGAATAGGGAGCAACACAACAATGTAAAGCTCTACTTACGTAAGATTTCGGAGTCTAGCTTCATTTGGCATCATAGGAGAAGGAGCTCCATCTCTCTCCCAGTGCGTAGGTTTGGAAAGATAAATCTGCTCAAACTTCAGCAGGTAACGTGGCTAGAACGAAAAGATGACAAGAGGTGATAAACATGCAAAATCCACCCATTGATTTCACAGAAAAAAGGGCTTTCGCCCCTACTGTGGGCAAACCGCCCCCTGCACCAATTAATCAGACGTATCTGTGCATCAATACATATCACTACACTTTCAGTCTGCTTGGGGTCACATGCGGGAAAAATCTTTTCAAGCCGTCGAGAGACTCACGGGCTCCTCCACTTCTCCAGAGGTGTGCTGGGCCTCAGCCTGCAGGTCGATGGGTGGGGCATCCTCCACAATCCTCTGTACTGACATCTGGATGAACTCATCGAAAGAGTCCAGCTGCTGCCTCACCAAACCCTTTTCATCAAAATAAGAACTACGAAGACAAGAACAGGCCATCCATTACTAATACCATTCTCCCCCTTTGTGCCCCAAATGTGGAAAAAAACCTGGGCTGAATTTGCTTTGAAGATCTGCATTACAGGAGATGATCACTACTGCTTCTATAGATATAGGTCAGAATAACTGCACAGAAAGGAAGAATGCTGACTGCATCAGACAAACTGCAGCTTGCAATGTTAAGAATGACAGTGAACTATAGACTATCTTCATTAAAGCCCAACATTTCCTTCTGTTTTAGAACTTTAAATACATTCTGATTCATTACAGCCAAATCTGTGAAACCCTTTACCAGAAATGTTTTTAACTTTGTATATCTGTATCAGAAAAAAAATGTGCTTTTTTAAAAAAGCAGGATAGAACTTGACTGGACATAAACAGACAAACATATATATGAATATATAAGGGGACACACTTAAAACAAAATGAAAAACAGTTCAACTTTTGCAGTGGAGAGCCACAATCAAGTAGGTCTTATAGGTCATCCTTAAATTATATCTTTGTAAGGACCTGCAACATGTGGACTGTGATCAGTTTAGTCAGGTAACTGGTTCAACTAAATCAGGAATGACCAACCTTTAAACTGTGTAGCTTTAAAAAATGAACAAAACTGAAATTATTCATTTCAGTTCTCAAGTCTTTACAATTGTTTGTAGGAAAACTAATGGTGACATTCAAAATCTGCTGGGTTGTACGTCACTGGGACCAGGGCTGGACTTTTACAGCACAGAAGAATGTTGAAATGTGAGTATTAAGTCAAAAATAAGATCAATAAAATCAAAAGATAACCCTAAAAGGTGAAGGTGGTTAATATGTTATATTTTTTAGGCTGCTCACCTGATGACAATCCAGCAGGCTTCCTGCCACAAGTCTGGAGTGATCTCATCGTCATCTTCATCATACTGAATATCTAAACAAGACCACAGAATTGTAATATTAAGGGAGCCCCATCCACATAAAATATTATGCTCTTTTTGGACTTCCCCCTAAAAAAGTATTATTCACAGGCAGTTACCTTCTACAGGAAGAAAGCTTGCTGCATATGAAACTAACAAAGAAAGGTAAGATGGCCCTTAATGCATTTGATTTTCACAGAAGCTGTTTTTACACTACATGCGTGGTAAAAAGCTTTTCAAGAGACATGGTACTTGGACCTGCTATCTCACAGCTCTGGAGACAGCGTGCCGCCTATGCAGAGTTGATCGCACTGCATGTACACATATGAATTTTCTCCAGGCACTTTGCTTCATTCCACTTCCTAAAGGCATGATCAAGGATAAAAGGAGCAAAAAATCTTTATTCTCCTCAATAACCTGCCCTCTCTGAAGCAGCTTTGTTACAATGGCGACACGAGTGTGATTGTTTGTCGAAAGACAGAACTTAGACTAATACATCAGGAGGCATCTGTTAACTTCACCGAAATTGACTTTTATAACGTTTGCTACTCTGCAACCTTTTCGAACATTAAAGAAAAGGCCACGTTTTTAATTCCTAAGGACAGTGGTACGCAAAATGAGATGTTAGAACCACCATGAACTAATTACCGTTCCTCCGATTTCATTTTCTGGCGTTTCTTGATAAAACTGAAATGCCAAAAGCTTTTTGGAAAATCACCTTCCCTATTTGGATGTAAAGCTCTCGCCTGTTGAATGCATTTCAAAATACAAATTTAGAACTCATGTGCTGAAAGTGACTGTAAATACGAACGGTTTAGACTGAGAATGTTGAAAACGAAGCACAATATTTCTAAAACAAACTTCAGGATGCACAAAATCTAAATAACAGATGTCGTTAAACGTGTCAGAGTTAATGGCACAATTCATTTTGCATTTATAAGACACCTCTGTACAATACAGACCAAAAATCAAAGAACGTACCCTGACGCCATGTTCAAAATATTGTTTAAAAAAAGAACTAAACAAACCAGATACCTACCTTCATCTTGATCATACATATTGGATTGAATGTACTTCCTTTATTGACTCAAAAAGAAAAACAAAACACTTACAAATACGTTGAATTAAAAATAAGTGCGCTATAACGCTCTACTTCCATCCACACCACCTGAACACAACAGTACGAGATATCGATGGTGTATACGTCACTTCCTGCAGGCTTTCGTGACGTCAAACGAAACATTTTAAAATAATTGAACCACCAGAAATATGTTAATTGTAATTGATATTCTCAATAATAATACAAAGATAATCGTGATAATAATTATTAATAATAATTTCGGATGGTTTGATGTGGTAATCATATACGTCACAGGAGTCAAAGTACTAAAAATGGTAGACTCCTAGACGTACCACATGTGTATGTTATTATTTGCCATTCAAGGTTCAACTAAGAAGAAAAAACGTAACCTTTAAAAAAATATTTTAAGTATAATTTCTTTTTTAATTATATTAAAAATGCAGAGGTTATACCGACTAAAGCAATGTGCTCCTGCTTGTTATTGCGCCCGGAATGTGTTTCCTGTATTTTTACCAACTTTGGGGGACAGACAAGGTAATCGCTGTTCATCTATTCTACGCAATTGTCCAGGACTCTGTAGAAAAGTGCCAACTTTTAAGATCTTCTGCTTGGAAGACACGTGGACGTCAGTGGTCCGCTGTTACAGCACAACGCAAGCGGCAATCGGCGACAGCGGAAAGCAGGGACGTCTTGGAAACTCTTACACATCGATTGAACCAGAAAAAGAAGAAGAATTCGTCTTTCTAGACTACTCCAACCTAGAGGAAGAGAACGATGATGGGGTTTCTTTCAAACCCCCTTCGCAGATGGGGTCTGTGGCCAATAAAGAGAGAAACGCATCGCGAAAGTCGTGTACAGAGGTGTATCACAGAGCTTTGGAAATACAGATGCGGTTATTAGAAGATACAGTGTTAGACCAGGACCAGGACGTACAAGAAATGGATATAGAATTTCATGACGCTGGCTTCCCCCTTCCTAAATTAACTTCTAAAAGGAAAAAATCTCAAAAAATATACGGCACTCCAGATAAGGAGATTCCTTTTAGTGACAACAGCTGTTCGGGATGCGGTGCTCGTATGCATTGCACTGACCCGATTTTGCCCGGTTATGTACCCAGTGAGAAATACAAACAGCTAATAAAGGAGGACAAGATGGACAGAGCGGTGTGTCAGCGATGTTTCTTGCTTGTCCATCACCAAAAGTCTTTAAATATTCAGGTTTCGAAAGAAGAATATCGGAATGTTGTTAGTCGGATACGCCAAGAAAAAGCTTTGGTATTGTTCATTGTGGACCTTCTGGATATTCCCGATTCTATCATTCCAGATCTGTTAGAACTAGTGGGCAAAAATAAAACCATAGTGGTTCTGGGAAATAAAATAGATCTGCTACCTGGCGATTCGGATTGCTATTTAAAACGAATTAAACGTCAGCTTTTTGCATATTGCGTTGACGCAGGTATTACTTTAGGCGATGGCACCAAAGACGTCCATCTCATCAGCGCCAAGACCGGCTATGGGATAGAAAACCTAATTTCGAGTCTTCAAAGATCGTGGAAATATAAAGGAGATGTGTATTTGGTTGGAACAGCAAATGCTGGAAAGTCTACACTGTTTAACACCCTGCTGGAGTCAGACTACTGCAAGTCGAAAGCTCCAGATGTGATTCAGAAAGCTACCATATCTCGATGGCCAGGTAATTATTACTGTACATTTGCCAGGCTGCAGGCCAGTGCAAAGTGAAGACCCGCTCTCTTTCGTCGTAGAAGCCTATGAAGGCACTATATAATGCAGTGAGGTTTAGCATGATTTGCAGAGAAACTGCCCATGTGTCTAAGTAAAGGCCTTGCAGTGCCAAGTTCAAGTTATTAGGATATGTTTATGTGAAGTCTTTGTATGAACAGTGTAATAAACCTCAGTCTAAATCACTAGATGTTTTGATGATTGAGGAAGAAATACCTTTCGCTATTCCCTCAGCTCGGTGTATGAAAAGTATTGTTTTCCATCTGTCAAAACCTAAATTTATCCCATGTTAGGTGGTCATATTTTAGGTTGTTGCAGATGGAAGCAGACACTAACCTATCTGTTCTTCATGAGGCACCACACTAAATCTCCTGAAGTTCCCAATCATCAACCCCACTCCATATCGCATGTTCAAGAGGTCTGAGAGACTGAAGAGTGATGGCTCTCAGTCAGAGAAGGACCTGAGCCCACAGGAGTTAAGACGACTGCAGCAGCTCAGCAAGCAGGGATATTTAGTAGGTAAGAGTTCTGACTTCTATGACAGTACCAGATCAACATTTGTTCAGGCCTGAATAAATTAAAAGGAGACAGAATAAAAACCCTGTGACTAAATCTAAACTTCCCCTTAACCCTAACTTAAATGACACAGTGAAACTCTTAACTCTAACTCTATGCTCCCCTTAACTCTCAGTCCTCACTTTAACTTACATTCCAGCATCTGGTACCTTAACGCAGCCTGGTTTCAAGCCCATAATTATAATAATAAACCTATTCCTGTTCCTCCATGACCCTGATTTCTTCAAGAGCCCAATGAAAGACTTCCTGTGGGGGTGGAGTTGCCACACTTGCACGGTTGACAAGGAATTTGTCTTCCCTGTTCATTTCAGGGCGAGTTGGCAGATCTTTTGGCTCGGCTGTCCAGGCGCAGAAAGATATGGATGTTGTGGATTTTGATCTAGAAAGTCTCAGTGTGGGAGAGGAGGAAGAAGACAGAATGAGTAAAAAATCAGCTCTTTCCAACCCAGTGGAGTTCACCCACAACGAGCTCAAAGATGCGCATTGGCTGTATGACACCCCGGGAATTATGAAAGAACACTGTGTGAGTGCTTTTGCTAAAACGTATTGTACGTTTAGCCAATGCAATCTTTGTGCTTAGCTGCAGAATAATTACTACATGCACCTAATATATTGAATCAGACATGAGTCATGAGTGCAGCATCATGTCAGATGTAGAGCTCTTCTCTGACTGAAACACTTACTGTCTGCTGGTGCCCATGGTCAGTTATTGCTATCCCTATTAGTTAAAATGTGCCATCTTGTAGTTGTTTTTATTCCAGGCAGACATGGGAAGCTTTAGTACTGATGAGCTTGATTATTTCCCAGAGGAAACTGATTGTCCTACACTGACTCCAGCTCCCTTTTCCATGTAGATGCCCCTCAGAACCTTATATGTGCCCATAGAGGTCGCCTCTATCGGACCCACGTACAGACTTCTTTCTTGTAGTCATCCAGAACACCAGGCAACGCGTTATAGCTCTCAGACACTATGAACTTGCAGGGGTTTGGAAATTAGAACTAGTGGCTCAGTTGTACAGCAGTGGATTTCTTGAGCAAGGTCAACATGGAAGTAGGAAGGGTAGCTCTTTGCATAGCTTTAAACAAGCAACAGAAGTAATGGATACAAACAGAGTATATTTTGATTTTCCAAAGGCTGTTGATAAAAGATTCATTCTCAATAGGTAGTAGGGATTCAAGCTACTGTATGGATTTGGATTGAGAACTGCCTAATGCATAGAAAACAGTGAAGGGTTAAATGCTCAAAACTGGGTGATGTTATTTCTGAAGTACCACAAGTCTCTGTGTTAGGACCACTCCTCTAAATCAATTTTTAATTTATATTAATGATCTTCATGGGATTAGGTTATTAACTAGTCACGTTCACAGATGACACCAAAATAGGAGGATGAGGATTAAAAACAATCTGTAAAAGATCAAGGCAAACTTTAACAAATGGCAGACAGCATTTAATGCAGACAGGTGTAAAGTGTTTGTAACAGGGCGCTGTGTATACTGTGTGCCCATGTTTGAAAGCCTATTGAAATAAGCAGTTCTGCTATTTAATCTCTTTGCATTTTGCAGGTTCTCAGTCAGCTCACAGATGAAGAGTTGAAGATGGTGGTACCAACTCAAGCCATTTTGCCCAGGACGTTTGTGCTGAAGCCGGGAATGGTGCTCTTTTTGGGCGCCCTGGTGCGCATAGATTTCCTTAAGGTGGGTAAATTGTAGAGGTCATGACCATTTGGTTTTGTGCCCATGGTGTCATACATGGACTAAAAAGTAAAATGTTTGTTAACTGTTTTTAGAGTATGTTCCCCAATTCAGCATGGACATAAGTGACACTTTAAATGCAGTTGTGTTAAATGTTGCGATGTAAAATAAACGCAAGTGACAATAGTGGATTACGATTTCAGTGAAGTTAAAAGTGCCAAAAGGATAATTGAGGCAAATAATGGTAGTTTGCAATATTACATGCTGATTTTGGATGTAATATTGCAATATTACCAATATTACATACAGATTTTGCTTGATTATTCAATAGGTATCTGTACAGATTTTTTCGTAATAAAAGTACCACAAACACATCGCCTGGAGGAGAACTGGGACCCCAGAGGTCTATTTGCTCCCACAGGAATTTTTTGTTTTCCCTTTTTTTGTTCTCTTGAGGTCTACTGTTGCTGTACAGGATTGTTAACTGCTGTATAAATCTGCAAAGCAGTCTGTGGCAAATGATTTAAGAGAGATTTAATATTTTTTTTCAAATGAGATGCAACAATGAGATTCAAAGGAGATACAAAAATATTTTAGGCATGAGTGGTGCCATTAAGATTCTTGTGCACTCCATGAGTGGTAGCCTGTTTCACTTTAAAGGCTCTTCTTGCCTTAGGGCGAGAGATCTTGTTGGCTCTCGATTGTCGCCTCCAATCTCCTGCCAGTTCACATCACCAGTGGGGAGAAAGCAGATGACATTTACCAAAAGCATGCTGGGAATACACTTCTTGGGGTAAGTGCGTGTGAACAGTAGGAAACCAAAACAGAAAACTTTTAAAGCACAACTCTTATCTTTGCTGTAGCAATTAAATTGGGGGAAAATTAATGTTTTAGTTTATAGTATTAAAGTGATACCTCAGTAATTTGATAATGTACTGACAGGTGATCAGGAGTGAAACAAATATAATTGTAGTTTGCTTGTTTGGACATACATAATGTATATATAGTTTAGTATTAGGCATTATGTAAAATATGATGCCTTTAGTTCAGTTTTATCATAAAAATCCACAAGTTGGTGCATTTTGATCAGAACATCAGAAGCCGTTAGTCCACCAAGCAAATCTGGTCCCGTTTCTCTGTAGTCCTGTAGTCTGTACTGGATATACTGGGAACAGCCAGTAACGATTAAGGACAATCTGTTTGGACTGGACTGTTTGGAGCTAATTTTCTGTTCATGACCTAAAAAAGATTGTATTTAGCCATAGCATCATGTGCCATTTAATACATGCTTTAAGAGATTTCCAGTTCAAACATGTTGTAGACAGAATACTTCTCCTTTGTCATTAGGTTAACTCGGCTCCTCCATTCCTTCTTTCCTGCTTCCTGTTTTAAAGGAAAAAAAGAACGGATTTGCAGTGCAGTTAAAATTGATGTTACACAAATTTCAGGTGGCTGCAAATACACATTTGCTTTTTAGAATTAGACATACTCTGGTAGCATGTTTCAAAATTAGTAACTAACAATAAACCTTTTCTCCTTTCTGTTCCATAATGGCATTTATATAATAATTTAGATAGATAGATAATACTTTATTAATCCCGTAGGGAAATTGATGTGTTACAGAAGTCAGCCCAAGACAAGCAAAAACAGACATTAGAATAGTTGTAAAACAAAAGACAACAAACTAAATAAAAATAAATACATAGGTGTGTGCAAAATGTGATGATCATTTAGCTGAGCTATAGAGAGCTCTGAAATTCTATCCACTTTCTTGGTTATAAGTCATGGATATGAAGGTCATGGGACTGTGGGGACATTCAGGTGAGATGCTGGGCTTGTTTCCGAGACTTGTGCTAACACAACAGTACGTCTTTAGGTGCCTGCTGGTGGGGAAGAGCGCATGAGACAGTTTCCAGCTCTTGTACCTCAAGACTTTGAGCTGCAGGGAGTGGGGCCTGAAGAGGCTATAGCCGACATCAAGCTCTCGTCTGTAGGTAGGAACAGCGCCATTGACTTATTCTCTTCACTACTGTGACATAAGGAGCACCTGGGTTGGAAAAGCGGAGTGGTATTGCAGTGAGGTAAATTGAAAGCCAATGAACACTGGATTATCAACAGGAGTAGGGTGATTGTCCCAGTTGTATTGTTTCGCTGTAGTCCCTTACTGGATATACTGGAAACAAGATTAGACACAGTTTGGACAGTAATTCAGTAAGCACTTTTGACTGTTTTTTCAGGAGCTTATTCTATATTTTTTTTTACATAAGAGCACCACTATTAACGGCAGTAAACCAACTTGTGTTCACACTTTCTACTTCATTGAAACTCAAGATGGGTTCTTGGAAAGAAAGCATAATAAAGAAATGATGCGAAGAACCTCCATACATCCATTTTCTAACCAGTTCATCCACGTGAAGATCATACCTTCAAATTAGAAACCAAATAGCAAACAAAATCAAACTCAGGCAAGAAACATTTGTTTTCAGTCTCATTTAAAATATTGTTCTGAAGCAGAGGGGCATGCTATTTAGCATTGTTGTCTCACATGAGTGTTTGATGGGTACTGTTGTTTGTTCATGCCTTCAAAGTCATGCTGGCTAGGGTAATTAGGGTGTCAAAATTGCCTCTGTGTGCTCATGTGTGGCTGCCCTGTTATTATCTGGCATCCTTTCTCACCTTGCCCACTGTACTGTCTGGGTGTTTACAAGGAATGAGAGGCTTTCTGATAAAGGGTGGCGGTTTACTGCTTCTTATAATGTAATGCGGGATTCAATTGCAATAAAGCAGAAGCATGTTAAAGGAATGGTCGAGTTGTAGTCCGTATGGTGAAAGCTGGAGTTGGTTTCTTCTCCCCCAGGCTGGGTGGCAGTGACGGCTCACGCCGAAGACAAGCTGCTGTTCCGGGTGCACAGTCCGGCGGGGGCGGGACTCGCACTGCGCAGGCCCCCGCTGCTGCCCCACATCGTGCTCCTGAAAGGGAAGAGGATCCGGAAATCCCCCACCTACAAAGCCAAGAGACCTCCGACCCTGCTGGACACCTGCCTGTCTACAGCTAGAGCAGACAAATCAAAGAAATGAAAAATACTGTGTCTTCACGTCATTTCATTCTGTAGCAGCAGCTTTCTCAGGAGAGGAACGGGCATTCTTGTACAACAGTCAAGGGAGTTAAATACATTTAATAGTTGTTTAAGACTAGTTTTTATCACATAATTCTGAGGTTGCCAATTTCAATGTTTGGTGGTCCAATGTCAAGCCATCAGGACATCTCTTATGCCTTGTATACCTTCTCCTATGACTCTTCTATTCATCCCTCTCAGCTGCCTGGTAATCACTCTTCCAACTTATCCAAAACCCTGCACCTTGCTAAATATTTTGTCTTGCTTTTCCCCTGCATCTCCTCCTCTTCATGCAGTTACTTAGTGAACCATTCCTGATTCCTCATTGGAACTGTTTAAAGATCCTTCTTTCCCCTCTTCATCACTCTTTTTACCTCCTTTCATATATTCTTCCCTGCTCATCTACCAGTTGCAGACTTGCTCCCCTGGGGTAGAACCCCACACCCAGGGGCAGGAAGACACTCTCTCTGACCATTGCCTTCCAGCTGAACACAACGATGGCAACTTAAGATTTATCCCTGCTCTTGTTGTGACAGGCAGCTGTATGAGAACATAGGACCATCAAATTCATACACCTGTTTATACACCTGTCATAATTGTTTTGCAATGTTAATGCTTTAGATAGGGCGGAGCAGTGGCTCTGCAGCTAAGGATCTGCGCCTGTGGCTGGAAGGTTGCCAGTTCAAATCCCACAGCCGACAGAGGAATCCTACTCCATTGGGCTCCTGACCAAGGCCCTTAATCTCAACTGCTCCAGGGGTGCTGTACAATGGCTGACCTTGTGCTCTGACCCCAAGCTTTTCTCTCCCTGCCTGTGTGTCTGATGGAGAGCAAGCTGGGGTATGCGAAAAGACAGATTCCTAATACAGGAAATTGTATATGGCTAAGAAAATGATCTGATCTTACACTTCAGCAGTTATTCATTGAATTGAATCACTTCAGCTGATTTAATAACACTGATTGTCAGCTTGAAGCCACTTTATATGTTACTTATTACTTGCCAGATGAAAACACCATTCTTAAAGTGAAATGTATGGATCAAGGGTCTTCACGCTGGTCCTTCAGAACTCCTGTCCGGCAACATGTACATGGATTTTAAATTATCAGCTGCCCAAGGCTTGAAACGGTTAAACTATGATCAGTTTAGCAGGGGGTATGTTCATGTATCATTTAGAGATATTTTGTAAAGAATCAAAATACCTTTATTTCTCAAGGAGGAGCGTTCCCTTCATTAAAACATTACTTGCAGAACTGAATAACTAAACACGTGATCCTCATCTTTAAGTAACAGTCAAATAAGGGAGACCTGTAAGAGTAACAGGATAAGGGCTCTTTCACACTGGGAGTGGAGATCCCTGCTGCAGGTATAATTCCAGGGTTTTGTTCAAAAAGATGTAATCCTCAATTGTTCTTGCTCTCCAATTAATCAGTTTCAAAATTTAAAATAAAAAAAACCTTGCATTTTTAAAACAGGAAATTATAGTTTTTATTACATTACTATGCAAGAACAAAAATACTGTTGCTACTAAGATACTATGAACTGGAACTCAGAATCATGAGAAGGAGACAAAAAAAGTGGAAAAATCCCTGCCAATTTTTAGCCTGTGCAATTGATTTATATTTGGTCATTAAAATACCACGTGGTCTGTCTTCACCCTTGATTTGCTTAGTGGAAATCTTACTTTATCTTCAAAATTTATGTTCAAAATAAATCAATTTGACAAAAAAAGTCAACTTAAATTTTTATTGAAAAATTCTACAGTGTTTTTCTACAGCTTGGGAGCAGTTCATATACACTGGATCAGTCAAAGTCAAGCAAATGACTCAGTATCCCCTTCTTTCAATAACAGCTCATTATTATTGGTGCATATTATAGAGAGAGGTGTTAAAGATGCTATCAATTCAACACTCATTACACTTTTAACATCTCTTGATATAATTTGTGTTCTTACCACTTATAGCAGTAATGTACAGTTCTGTAATAATACACCCCTTAATTACTTATTTCACACTTTCTGTAAAGTGAAATTGGTAGCTGGAGTTTGTGGTCTATAAATGAAGCATCATTAATAAAAAAAGATGCTCTGACAATGCAAATTGGGGAAAATTCATTCTCTGTGGACAAACAAGAAAATGAAACAAGCTAATCTTGGCCCAACTGCTAGATGTCACTATGCATCACATCTTTCTTCAAACATAAATGCTTTATTTTTCCTTTGCTAGTCCAGTAATGGTTTAATGAGCCCAACAGCCCCTACTAAAAAAAGGGATACTGTGTTATTTACTACATAGTACAAACAACAAATTACATATAACCGAGTACAATTAATGATACATGCATTGGACAGTTACAGTGTCTATCTTAAGAAATGACCTAATTACTATAGATAAACAAATGTACATAAAGAATAATCATTTCCAGTTTTATATAACACTAACACATATAGATACCACAATTTGCAATCTAACCACCCAGAATGAGTGCATTTTCAATTCAGACAAATAGCAATTGAAAGGAACATCATTTTCCCTGTGCCCAATATTTTTAGACAGGGGAACTAAGAATGCACAGTAGTTCATAAGAGTCCTATACATACTTTGGTTTTATTTGAACAGGCAATATTGCACTGGATATGCAAAAGAATGTGTATAGGTTGCTCAACATAATCAGCAGTCTGGCAGTACAACGTATTACATAATGTACATCCAGACAAAAAAAAGAAAAAAAATCAGATAAAGCTATACCAAACTGAATGACAATTTAGGTCATTTGTGTGCAAACATGGAAAAACAGCTTAATGCTCAGGGACAGTAAACCCATGATATGTGTGGGCAGAACATAACACTGGATTCAATTTGAATTGATATTTGTGTATGAAATTATTCAGAATACATTGATTTGCTCTTAAAGTGAGGAAAATAGTCAATTAAATCGAATACAACACTGCTGACTTAACCAATAAACCAATCTGTTCAGTCTGGATGCAGGCAAAACAATGTGTACAAGTGTCAACAATTTACAAAGCTGCAGAGCCACAGAGTTTTGATCTGTCATGTAGCCCTTAAAATCATATAGTGTCAAATAGTAACACCTCAATAGTTAATTTGTGACATTGCCTCAGCCTGAGAGTCACTGGCTTACCGATGTTTCATTTTTCCCTCAAGTACTCTGATGGATGGTCACAGTTTGTGGTCTTCAGTTCTTTTATGTGAAATTACAGTATACAGTGATTCAGCTCATTTCTGTACAGTTGTTTTACATGTTGCCACATGACGATATGAAATCTTAAACAGAACTCAGCTGCTGTTCCATGAATCCTGGACTGTGGCAGAGAGGATAGAAAAATCCACGTCTATAAAAATGCAGATTTTTTCTCTTCATCCAAACCAGCTCTCGCGTTAAAAAAAAAAGTTTCGAGTGATAATTACAGAGCATCACTAGAAAATAAAACAGTTCTACATTTAAACAACTGAAAATGTCAGTAAAAAAAAAACACTGCATGACTGAAAAGCATAAGGTGTTGAAGATCATACACTGTTCAAAACCTGTACCATCATATTTTCATGTCAATGAAAGGTTTAATTTCTTAAACCAGAAAAGGGGAAGGCAAAAGCCATTACTTTATTGAGAAGCTGGACAATCTGTTATAAAAATAAAGAATTTTCTAAACAAACCTATTGACCAAAATAGGTCCAACTTTCTTTAAAACCTGCTTAATTGCTCAAAGCACAAATCTGTTTACAAACTAGATTAAAGACTGATTGTCAAAGGCATTACAGAAAAGAGTTCAAATTTTACAAAGACTCCTTTCTTTACAACAAATATACTATATATATATAAGATCTTTGGACTTCATCTATTGTGTTCAAATCGAAGTATAACTGAATCTTCCGTCGAGGTCTCTGCATTTACCTTATTTTTCTTCACTTTCTACCCCTCCATCTACATGTTGCCACCACACAAACTGATAACTACAAGCATTTACAGGCCACCCTGGCCAGATCAGCCTCTTTTGAAGCATCAGGTGATGCCAGGTGACCTGTGGGTACAGCTCACACCAACAGTCTTGGATCAGTTGTCCCATGTTTTATTCTCCAGTTTTACCTTTTGACCGGGAGTCCATAGTTTGACCAGGACAACTGCAAATATCATTTGCACACAGTGCCACAAGAGACAAATGTGCCGTGAATTACCAGAATTTAGAGAAAATTAGATGTACTTCCAACTCATCACCAAGTGCAGATGTAAGCAGTTTATTGAACAGTCTACCGTTTGTTTCCTGTAGCATTGTTTCAGAAAAATATTTACAGGCAAAACTGGCTCAGTTGTCAAGGGAGACGTATAATTTGAAACTGCCTCTGACAGGGATCCCACAATGGTGCACTGAACTGTGTACGTCACAATCAAACTACACAAATTAAACACAACCAGGAGCATGATTAGCTATTAAGACAGAAAAGCCCAGGAAAAAGTGAATATCAACAGAATTTAATACATAAATATTACAGTATTTCAGAATGAAATGTTTCAATAAGGGGGATTTTCCTACTATTAGGACAATAAAGCTGTTGTAGTCAATAATTTCTACACTGTAAAATACCAGGATAACACTTCTTGCAGCCAGGTGATAGCGATGAAAACCATTTACTAAATACTCCAAGGTACACACACCCATCCTTATAAATATTTCAAGAATTTACAATTTAAAAGCCTACTGACTACCTATGATTTAGGTTTTGATAGACATATATACACAGAAGTTCCAAAAGAAATATAAAACCTGGTAACTAATAAAATACAAAGTTTCGAAAAGTCTATTTTTGTCCTTGCTCCAATGCATAGCTTTAAGATGGTGTGCAACCAGTGAATGTTTTTGTGATGCTGTATTGCAATTGCAGGTCACAGGAAAGAAAAAAAATCAAAGGGATTACAATTTTTTTTACAAAGTGCATGCTTTTAAAAAAAATCATATAGCTTTTAGTCTCCTTCATTTAGACTTCCAGTAACCTGGAGTACCTAAAAGCATTTTATTCCACATCTACAGTAAAGAAAGTGTAAAGTGTCAGATACAGCCAGGAGCAGATGGGAATAACTAATACAAAATGAGTGTATGCACTTCTCACAACTGCATGGCTTGGGCAGCTGTGTCTGTCTTATTATTCCTCTTACTCGGGAAGGACAAAGGGCATCTTTGGTACATTACTTAATTATAATAATGATACTTTTCATAAAGCATAAACTATGCTTATTTGTTGGACAGACTCTTTTTATGATTATTCAAAGCGCTAGTTTTGAATTTTTTTCTGAAGAGCTATAACTAATGAAGGTTTGTACACCGCTGCAAGAAACATGGAGGCTAAAAGCAGTGTTTTTTTCTGAAGAAAAATCTGTTAACATGAGGTGATTTAAAAAAAAACGTCCTGGGATGTATGAAGTCTGGAAAGCCCCTACTCTGTAAATTCACCTTTCAGAATATAGTCGACTGCCTTTTTCAGAGCCCTCTGAAGTAACAATGCCTCACGCTTTCAAAAGAGGGCCGTCTTCTGAAATACCACACAAGGCAAAGCTGTCCCTCCAAAGGATTTCCTCGACTTCCATGTCACAAAAATGAACCAACTCCTCTATTTACCAACAGGATGTGGATGAATACAGAAAAAAAGGCCTCGCCAGATATGAAAGAAGAAAAATAAGACTCCTGGTTGTTGAATTCCACATTCCAACTTGCAGTCTGTAAAGCTAGCCTCACATTTTCTAGAAACGCCATAAAGCTTTGTATTATACATTAATCTCAATCAACACTCACAGCAGGTTGAGAACAATAATATGCCTTGAGATACACCTTACGCAAAGCCAGATCATTTTTCATGTTCATACGATAAACCTTGACACTGAAGAGATTACAAAAATGAAAAATGTATGGCCTTCAAAAATACAAATTACACATATATGACTGATAATATCAAGGAAGCCTCAAGGAGTAATGCAACAACAAGACACCACTGATGATTGCTACTTGAGATACAAATCTGCGGCTTATGAAAGCAATTCCAGATCGCCGACCGCTCTGCGGCTGTTCAGCTGTCCTCTGCTGCGTTCTCCAGATAGTACACATTAACCAAGTGTCGGTTCAGGTGCCTCCTGTATTCCCCTTCAGCTGAAAACACGCGGTCGCAGAAGATGCAAGTGAAACTCTTGGAAGCTTGCCTCGGCTCTGGGTCGCTGGCCTTCATGGCAGTACTGGCAGCTTCCGCAGCTGCTCCCACCCCATTTAATCCCGAGTCGTCACTCCCCTCGGAAACACTATCGCTGAGGTCACTGCCGTCGTGGCTGTGGATGCCTTCGTCTTCCTCCGTGTCCACGGTTTCGGCGTGGGGTTTGTTGCCGACTGCGGGAAGCTCGAGAGGGGGCAAACGGTCTTGGTCTGCGGATTTCTTGGGCCCTGTGGTCTCCTCTGTACAGGGCTGGATTTGCTGGCTGCTGGAGCTAATGCTTTCAGATGTGTCCTTTGGTTCACTTGTGTCATCCCCCAGTTCTCGTTCTGTCCCGGTTTCCTCAGGAAGCTGCTTTTGCTCATGAGGAAGCTCCGACAAGGTTTTGCTTTTGTCAATCTCCACATTCCCTACATCACTGTCTTCTGTGCTCCTATTGCTTTGTTCCTCATTCTCGTCTCCATCCTGTTTCTTTCCTTCAGCAGCACCCTCTCCCTCCCCATCAACAGAGCCCTCTTCTTCCCCATCAGCAGAGCCCTCTCCCTCCCCATCAGCAGAGCCCTCTTCTTCCCCATCAGCTGTGCCATCTTCCTGCCCATGACCAGTGGACTCTTCCTGCCCATCAGCCATGGCCTCTTCCTGTCCATGACCAGTACCATCTTCCCGCCCATCAGCAGTGGCCTCCTCAGTACAGCTGTCCACTGGGGAGCTGCCTACCTTTTCAGAAGCCAGGTGCTCCTCCTCCTCAACAATCACCAGCTGGATCTCTGTGACTGGATAATCCTCATTTTGTAAGGGATCCCGAGAGTCATTAGCGTCACTTTTCTCCTCCTGTGTGGCTGGCTCTTCCACAGCTGTCTTGCTCTTCTCATTTTTGGTCTTTGTAGTTTTCTTTTTCAGTTTGACAGTGGTGGGCCAGTCTGCTTTCTTACCCAGCTTACCTTTGCTTTTTGATGACTTGCAATTCTTCAGCTTTTTGTGCTTCTTTCTGAGGATGCTACTTTTCTTGGAACTTTTGTCCTTGCCCTTCATTTTCTTCTTCTTTTTTTCCACACAAGCAGGATGCTCAGAGTTCTCTTTCGCTGGCGCAGGTTCCATCGCCTCTGCTTTTCTCTTCCCTGCTTTGGTCTTGGGCAGCTTCTCTGAACCCTTTTCTGTGGTGTCCGAACCCTCGCGGGCCTTCTCGCTATCTGCTTTCTCCATTTTGGTCAGTTTGGCAGACTTCTTTGTTGTGCCTTTAACTGCCTTCTCCGGGTTCTTGTTCACTCTCTCTGCAGTCTTGCTAGGCTTTTCAGCACTGACGTTCGTTTTTGCTGGGTTCCTTTCTCTTTTGGGCCTCGTCTTCGGCGCCTTGTCTGCAGGTTTGGCCGCTTCAGCCGTTTTCTTGGCTTCTTTCTCTTTCTTCTTTACCAGCTTATCAGCACCGTTCTCTGCCCTTTTTATATTACTTTCCGCTCTCGCCGTTTTCTCCAAGCTCTTTTCTGCTTTCTCAGGCCTGTCCGCAGCCTGTCCTGTACTCTTCTCCACAGTCTCCTTTCCTGTAGTTTTCTCCGCTCTCTCTTCCTTGTCTGTGCACCCCTGAACTTTCTCTTTCTTTTCCATGTTCTCCTTATCGGAGCCCTCCTCTCCCTTCTTGAGGCCCTTTTCCTTCTGCTGCTTCTCCTTAACTGATTCTGAGCTGGGCTTCACAGTTTTGGCGGTCGTGAGATTCAACGCACCTGTGTTCGCCTGCTTCTCGCCCTCGCTCTTTTCTTGTTTCTCTGATTTTTTCTCCTGGCCCACGCGTTTCGGTTCTTCTTCTTGCCCAGTCACAGCATACTGAGGACTGCCTGTTGCCTGGTAGTAAGCAGCCCCAGGTCCAGTCCGTTTGCTGCGCAGCTTCACTCTCGACACGTCCATAGTGATTTCAGTGCAGTGAGGGTGCCTGGACTTGATGTGGTACTGCAGGTTGCACTTCTTGGAAGCGGCGTAGTTACAGACAGGGCACAGGAACTGCCTGGGATTGACGTGGAGTTCCACGTGCTTTTTGTAGTTGCTGCGATCCGCCGTTTTGTAGTCACAATGAGGGCAGCTCAAGGGCTTGGGTCCGTCGTGAACCTGTCTGGCATGACGCGTGACTTCATGCTGGTTAGCGGCCACGTAGCAGCAACTCTCGCATTTAAAGGGCTTCTCACCTGTTATCAGAAAAAAATAAAAAATAAACATTATATGGGAAACCCATACCTTCCATGGCAACACAAAATACTATTTCTATGACAGAGATGCTTATAAATCATGATCCCATGCTTAAGAAAAACAGTCACAAAGTCTGGAAAATCCAGAAAATAAATTCAACCAATTACCGGCGATCAAGCACTTATCAAAAACACGAAGCACAAACATACATACCATTACCTGATGGCTTACTGTTTTAATTTGAGAAGGGTATCCAAACCAACTGCTCCATTGAATGCATTGAATGCGACAAAAAATGGAAATGAACATTGTGAAGAAAAAATTCTTAAACTTAAGTCCCAAGTGATATACAGTTAATATTCCCTACACAGACCATGCTTTTGTTTTGCAATGTATGCAAGCATTAAACCTAATAATATTTGGTTGACATGCTACACTAACAATTACATAAAAAATATGACAAAAGTCTTAGCAATAGGATCTTGAGATTTACCATTTAATTTTGACGCTGCCCTGCCCACCAGTTTTCTCAAAACTAGCCAATAGCCACACTGCTGTTTATCCCCACACTGCAAACTTTCAATTCAATTGATTGTTATATAGCACCTTTCACAACAAGGTTGCCCCAAGGCGCTTATCAAAGCAAGTAACCATACATGTTGTGAATACACAACAGAACAGACCAGAAGACAACGGAGGAGAGGAACCAAAAACTCCTTAGTAAAGAGAAAAAAAACCTCTAGGGGTCCAAGGTCAAACTCCAAGTCCCTGGGGACTTTATACCCATCTTGTGAACTGCTCTTAAAAGATAAGAGGCAGACACTTACCTGAATGTGTTCGCATGTGTCTGGTCAGGTGGGTTTTCTGGGAGCTTGAATACTTGCAGTAAGGACACCGGAAAGGACGTTCTCCTAAATAATAAGATAAACAAAAACAAATATAATCTCCAAAATAAGATGACAACCAGTTAGTTAATGTGTCCTCTTCAAAATGAAAAGTCAAAAGCCAGATGGTAGTTAATGGTGTTTAACTAGCCACAATCTTGGCAATCAGTACTTTGTGAAATCTCCTTTGGCTTTGAGTACAAGGAGGTGTGCTCTGTAAGATTTTAAAAGATCTGGTGATTGCCTTTAAAGCATGTGCTGTATTCTCTTACTGTGAAGTCCATGTCCTGGTTAAATTTGCAATGCAGCTCTTTCTCCTTTCTAACCAGGACCAGACGATGTAAACTAAGAACAACAGATCCATTTCATTTATTCACAAAAGGGACAGTGTTGATTTTCAACAACAGCGTTACTATTCTGTATTACCCCCACTCCAGGAGAGTCCACACACTCCATGTGTGTAGTCATGTGGTCCCATTCGTCTTGGGGTGAACTAGTTGCTGTTTGTCAACAATTTCCTTTCTTTTTGTAATTTAAAAGATTTTTGTAAGGTTCCTGGCTGCTGCCTTGAGTGTGAGTTATCCTTCAAATCTCCTTCCTGACCTCTATTTGGGTAGAGCTTTCAAATGCCTTCCTCCCAGGGGAGGAGCTGCTATTGCATTAAGTCTTGAACTTCTCGATGACAGAACCCAAAATGAAAAACCTGGTTGGCTTAGTCTCCTTTTATATTCCTCACTAGAGCTCTTGAAGATCAGAATATTTTTACCCTAGATCGTTGGACAGTTCTCTGGCTTTCCACACAATGACATGGGCTGAGTATTCAGCCTCCCTTACTACCTACTGGCAATCAAAGTGACTTCCAGAAGTTTCCGTAAACAAGTTCGTGAAACTACCAGATGACTGAGAATGTTACAGGATTTAATTTAGTGTTTACGTACAGAGTAAGAAGAAATTCAATCAAGGCAACCTCTGGAAGTTTTTGTAAACATTGTGAAGTTTGTGAAACTACCAGATGACCAAGAACATTACAGGATTTAATTTAGTATTTACATACAGAGTAAAAAGAAATTCAAAGAGTATGTATTGCATTTAGAACTATAGAATTCTTTTTTATAAAGATATATTTAGGATTCCGCTTCATACATTATCATGGTAAATCAAAAATGTTGACATGAAATGCTGATATGCCTGCATCTGAACACGCATTTTCTTTTATATTCACTTTCAGTTAGTTTGTCAATATTAAGAATACATTTGGAGAATACTTATGGAGAATTTCTTTCTACACACAGTCCACACACAAAGCAACACAGAGTGCAAGTGCAAAGAATAGATTATCCCTCTGGAACAAGTTCACAAGCTGGCTGAGGTTTTTCTTCTATTCATTGAACAGCTTTCACATATAATGAACTAGACCATTTTCAACAGCTGGTACATGATGTATCCTGCAGTTTTCTTCCAGAGTTTTTAATGACACCCCTTTCTATGGTTTACAGCCCAATTTAAACCCCTGTTTGTTCAAGAGCAGTCTAACTGAAGCACTGTTGTCTTTGCTGTTTGTTGTTTTGAGGGAAGGTCTTCTGTTGTAGAATTTTACATCACAATAGGCTATTGAACAGATCCAGTCAGTGCTGCATTTCTATGTGTCAGCATAGAACAGAGAGGCTATAACGATCTCACACCCTCAAACAATGAGAAAAGCAGGAGAGTGTTTGAGTAAGGGCAACTGTATCTTCAAGAGAGAATGGAATTAAATTTTACATAGGGGTTTCTAGGACTCTGATTTTGCAGGCAACTTCCTGCGTACTAAAAATAAAATGAAACAAAATACGCACAGCACAGTTGCTCTTTGCTCAAAATGTGTAAGTGTTAGCAATTATTATTATAATTAATTAAAATGTTAATTCCTTTTACTTAGAAGTTCACGAACACTGTTCAACAAAGCTGCATGCTTAATGTTGCTTTTTTTTAAAAAAAGTGATCTAAATCCTTTCAAAAAATGTCCTTAAAAAAATAATTGTTTTCCCCTCTATGCCTTTTTTTGCTCATACGAGACCTGCTGACCTGGAACCTGGAATTTCAAACGTGAAATTTTGCACAAAATGGGGATCTGCCCCTACGGTCACAGCAATTTTGTTTTCTGTTTTTGATACGCCAATTATTTAAGCTGATCATACTTTTAGATCGGAAAGCTGTCTCACCGTTTTTAGAAACAAGCAAAAACTGACGAGAGGGACTTGTTCCGGGACACTTGTACTGATATTTCCCTGCTGTGTACTCCCCACCATGTTCTCCAAACAGAATGTGGGGTTCTGAGTCAGAGCTGCAGCTATTTCTTTGTTTTTCACATTTTAAAGCCAGATCATACAGAGCACAGAAAATGAGAGGATGCCTTTTAGGCTCCCTACAGAGACTCCCACGACCGCAACACCCTAGTAAAGAGAGGCTATCACAGCCAGTAATAGCCAGTCAGTGCGATGCAGGTCACAGTCAGTCAGTGCAGGTCAGAAGTGCCCGATGCCCAGTACCTGTGTGGGTGCGGATGTGCTGCACGTAGTTGTTCTTGCGGTCCGAGAAGTAGCAGCACTGGGAGCAGGTGTAGAGCTTGCTGGGGAAGTGGTTCCTCAGGTGCTTCTTCCAGTGATACTGGCTGACGGTGGTGTAGGTGCAGATGGTGCACTTGTACACCCGCTGGCTGTCGCCCTCCTTCTTGTGGTGCTTGAGGTGCGCCATGTAGTGGTCGTACCGGTTGGTGTTGTAGCCGCAGCGCTCGCAGCGGATCACGCCCTTGTTGTAGACCACCCCCTCCGTGCTCTCCGCTGCCTCCTTCAGCTGCTCCTCGTTCTCCGCCCTCCCGACGACGATCAGCTTTTTGGCGCTGTGCACGCGGATGTGGTGCACGAACTCCTCCTCGCACTCCGCCTGGTACTGGCAGGGCTTGCAGTGGAAAGGCTTCTTCTTCTTGGGCGCTTCCACGCAGCGGTGGCCCCGCTTCCTCTTGGCCCCCGGGGGCGAATGGCAGAACACGGGGGCGCTGGGCAGGACCTCTTCGTCGGAGCCCGTCCCCTGGGAGGTTTCGGCGTAAAACCCCACGGGCATCTCCAGCTGGTTCTCGTAGTCGCACCTGAGCAGGTTTTCCTCCTCGCTGTCCGAGAAGGTGCTGCCCACGGTCTTCAGCTCCACCATCTGTTTTTCCTCCATCATGTACTCGCAGCCGCTGACCTCCGAGGTCAGGGCCACGTTGGCCAGCATGACCAGCTGAGGCGCCGCCATCTCGGTCCTGGACAGCTCGGTCAGCCCGTGTCCCTCCCCACTCAGGGGCATGCCCCCCGGAGACGAGAACATGTTGGCTCCAATGGGGTGCACAGTCTGAGCAGCCATGCTGTCCTGAAACACAAAAAATATAGAGAATTTACAGATGATGCTGCATGTCCTGGTTAGACTTCTCCCTTTTTTGCGCTTCGACAGCAAACAGAACTGGAGCCCTCCCACAATAAAGTGACCGGTTTTGTCACTTACAGAAGTGGTATATACCCCCCCCCAACAGTACCACCACACCCACAGCTAAAACAACCACTCTGGTTGGAGAAGTAAAAAAAACACTTCGCCGGCTTGCCTTAAGCAGGCCTGACAGTGGAAATGATCAATCCATGTTATTCTTTATTGATTTATCCATCAGTTTTATTCTGTTGAGCCCTGCTGTGTGCCGGTCTGTTCACGTTTCACCACAGGTTTGCAGTAACACTGGTTACAAGGTCTGGGGATTTTATTTTTATCCATGCTCTCAGAGCTAGAACACTTAATACAGATCCAATCCAGAACACTCTTAAGATACCTTGCATAACTTATTCACATAAAAAGCACAGTGCATAGAAAATACAGCTAATCCATGTATAAATGCGAAATCGAGAGAGTATGAATTAAGGGCCATTTTTAGGTGTGATTTAAAAACATCGACACAAGCCTGCATTTTTAATAAGGTCAGGAAGAATATTCCAAAGACAAATTTAGCCAGCACATCAGGGTTAGCAGCCTTACTCTTTCACATAATGCCACTGGATCGTTCCTGACCAATCAGGCAGGCAGGCCCTGGGTTTCACAGCAGAGTTGACCTGCTCAGCAATGTACCCTGGTCACCACTTTGTGGAATAGGTTTGGAACTTGTGGACCAAAGAGAAAAATACCATCTACTGGTCCATAGCACCCCCTTACAAGCAGCAGCCCAGTTTCCCTTGACCCAGTACAAACCATCCCAGTCTTGCTTAGCTCCAAGATCTGCCATAATTAGGAAATAAGGTAAGAAGCTGTTATGAAAAGCCCTCGGTTAAATCACAAAAATGTGGTGCTACAGTGTGTTCAGTTTCATGACAACAAGTTGAGGAGCTACTGGAGTTACCAACAATGACTACAGAGAAAAATGGTGGCTCGTTTCCCACAAGCCTAGGCCAACTTCTTCGGACATGAGAAGGAGTTTGAATTGCAGTGTAACTGGATTCTTGTAAAGATAAGGTTTCGTGAACTCCGCTTCAGAAGAAAGACGACTGGGCTATCATCCCCATTACCTCTGTCATTTGATTAATTCACTTACCAACTGTCTGGTTTTAGTAATAATTAAACACACTTGGCAAATAATTGCAAATGCTGTTGCTTTTTTTATTCTTACTGAAAAGTCTTTCTTCACTCACAGCACAAGAAAGTCTACAAAATTACTTACACACACAGAACACAGGTACTGAAAAATAGAAATACAAACATTTTGGCTGTTCTGACCCCAACAGTACTATTTGTACTACCAGCTTCAACAAAGTACTATGAAGCCTCTTCAGAGGTCTTGCTCATGCATTGCCAACAGATGCATGTCTATCAGCCATTAGCTTTCTCCTTACTGCATTCCTAGAGCTGGCAAGAGGCTAGAGCCTCTCATTCCCACTGGTGCATGGACTGTTTCTACCAGGAGAGGCCAAGAGCAGTCAACTGTGACAGTCACCTGATCCCCCATTATTCACCAGCCAATGATATCCCAGGTGCCAAGGCAAAACATGCTCAAATATTTGGAGTCAGTTGCAATGTGGCTAATACATTAACTAAGTCAATGGCTTGGCTTACTAGCAAAGGGTTTAAAGTTAAGAGCAGCTTTTATGGCACTCTTTTCATTATGACAATAATAAAAATAAAATCCTATTTCTCCCCAAGATTCAAACACTTTAAAGTGTTTCAGAATTGAAAAAAAAAAACATTTAACGAAGGAGACTTCAGTTCCTTCACCTTGGAAAGAAAATGTAAATTCTGTCTTTTAAATTTGATTGATTTCTCATGACGAAAAGAGATTTTAAAGGTTTATACCAAAACCTCTAAAACAAAACCAAGATCAACCAAAAGATACGATTTTGTGGTTGTGAGCTGTCATAAACTAAGAATAATGTTTGTGGTTGTAAGAAGGGATGACACACAATCATGCCACTATGAGTACATCTGTTAAACGTTCCAAAACTAGGCCTCTGAATGCACACTGGACAACCACTGCAGACTTCTCGATTGTACATCGATACATCATTAAAACCATAGAATTGAAATCAATGGGAGAATGTTTTTACAATTTAGTAAGGCCTAATTTTGAATATAGCACACAAATTAGATCACCACATTATAAAAAAAAGACAGTTTCTCTGGAATCACTCCAAGGAAGACCAACCAGATACATTCCCAGTCTCACAGGAATTTGCTACTCTCACAGGCATTAAGAAATAAATCTGTTTATTCTTAAACACAGAAGACCATGATAGGACCTGATTCAAATATTCAAAACCCCCAAAGGCACCGACAAAGCCTACATAAGAGCCTTGTACAAAATCAGGAGTGAATCATGAACCAGAGGATATTCATGGCACTTTTATTTTTTGTTTCCTTCAAAACCAAGGCTAAGAGGCACTTTTATTTACATACAGGATTATGAGAGTCCAGATTAACCTATTAACCATGTTGTTGAAGCCACATTGAGATGGCTGACATCCACAGATAAATTAGCTACTAAATACCAAAAAAGATTAGGTTTTTCATAGGTTCCTATGACTGTTTCTCATTTCTGACAGTTCTGCAATTCCGCTCAACAAAAACAAGGGGAAAAAACGCCACTCAGGCCTAATATTTTACCCCAGGCACAGAATGTAAGGAAAAAGGAAAGACCAACACCTCATCCAAAAATGTTGAATAAAAGCACAAGGTTAATTGGACAGCATTATAAATTAAAGCGGTCATGGCCAGTTTGAAGACCGAAATCAGAATAGCCTTTAAACTGTAATAAAACTGGAACAATGCACAAGATGACACAAGCTCAGAAGAATGCAGAAAGCACACCTTTCACACCTGAGCCTTCATTGTATGGACACCACCGATCTGAGTTGGTGTAAATTAAATATTTAAGACTCTGCCAGCTCATGAAGGGACCAACACACTGGTAAGGTTTCCAGTCACAGAAAAATAAGTGCAAAATGCGAATTGTGGAAGTTCTGAAATAGCTACTCAGCCATTTTTTTTCCCAAGATTTCATGATTTCATGGATTCTTAAAAAAAAACAGCTCGTGACATTCTCAAACCAATTACCTTTTAACAGCTATACAACTGCAGTGGGCCAAAATGGGCATCTTCTACTTGTAGCCACTTTTATGGAAACATGACATGTAACAAGAGGAGCAATCATAGCAGATGGTAAATTAAAAAATAATCTATCCGTTATCTAACTTGATTTCACCAAAGCTTAAGAATGACCTTTAATGGAAATTTTACTTAAGGCTATTAAGACACCTACGGATCGTCAGCTCTTAGGTATTCGGTATGGGAATCAAGGACTGTGACCTATGTCCCAGCTTCTTTCGGCATGAGGCGTTTAATTTCTTCCGTGAACCCTTCATTAGAGAAGCACGAAATAAGTTGTACTTATTTCCAAAAATCTAAAAGGCATTTCTCGACTCTCTTTATTGGCAAACTGTGGGGTACCTAAAAGGAAGCAGCATGTCGGCTCGTCCCATTCAAACAAAGTGTGAAAGAAAGTGAGTTATAAAACAAAAACATGCTGCATCAAGTTAACGTAAGTACAATCAAGTCTGTTCTTCAAACTGTAAAAAACTTAGGCCTCCGCGTTTGCATGCTTAGAAATTTGCGTTCGGCCATTTTATAACATTCCAAACAGCCCCACCAACTACAAGCTCTCTGATGTACCGTGTAAGTAAGAAATATACAGCTTTATGAAGTCACCTGATGACGAGCTCACGTTTGCTACCTAAGCACTGAAAAGGGGAATAGTTACATTTCTTTTATTTTTCTTCCTCCAAAACCATCAAGTTTCTTAACATATTGCGTGTCTCAGATTCGTGAATATGCAACTCGATTTCCAAGTAAAGCAAAGCGCCTGAGTTCGCACTTAAGTGTGCAAGAAACCATTTTAGCAAAACCGAAGTGAAGAGCACACTTCCCCCTCGTAAAAACAGAAGGTCAAACTTTTGCCTCCTATTTTAGTCTATCAACCTTAAGGAACAAATTAACTCGAGATCCAATGAAAACACTGACGTGAACAGTTACGATGTGCAAAAATGCTTTCGTAAATAAAGCATTTATACTCCAATGCAGGAAACGCGAGAGGAAAAATCGCTGTCCAACTACGTTCAAGGCCCCAACACTTCTCTCAAAAACTTAGCAAAGTAAACATGCCCTTTCCGGAAACTGAGAAAACAGGACAACTTTTTCTACTAAATTAAACAAAGAAAGTGGAAAACATCGTCCATTTTAAGTTAAACGTGCTGATCACAAGCTACATCCGCAGTTGATAAGTGCCCATTAAAGCCGTACCTCAAACTTTTTTGTATGTGTGTTAGCCGTGGTCCTGATCTCCGTGCTGAAACCCGAGCTCTGCGCTTTATTGAATCAGCCCTGGACAGCGCCTCTCCCTTTTCAGCGAGCGAAAACCCCCTCCATTTTTAAAACAGTTTCTCAAAGTTTTCGGTCTGGAAATTCCCGGCCACATGCCCGCAGAGCCGACGAGTTCGCCTCTCTTTTTCCACTTACCTTAAGCCACTTTCTTCTTTTCTTGCAACTCGAAAGCTATATTTTTCAACTTATTTGAAACGAATTTGTTCCAGGAGTAACAAGTCCCCACATTCCAGCACATCGCTCTGTTCGTGGGGATGGCTGACGTCAGCGCGTACTCGCGTTTCTGCCCAGGACTGAGTCGCACAGCGCTGAGTTGAAGTTCTGTGTTGAAACGAGTGGATTTCTCTTGCAGTCCTGGAACCTCAATGAACGCAATCCTAATAATAGCAGTTAATGGAAGAAGAAAAACAAATACAGTATTTATCTAAAGTATGCATTCTGAAAGTGCGGTTTCATTCAATGCCGCATTTATTAACAAGGCAGACCACATTCCAAAATTGCGAAGTCGTCGTCTTTATCTTTTTCAGGAGTAAATAGCAAAGGCTTGCTTCTAATCCAGGAGATCTCAGAGTAGGGTCCTGGGCTATAGCAAAATACGCAAATTCATGCTCACAGAAATAAGTCAACAAACACTGAACAATGAAGACTATGGAAAGACCTGTGTTTGTTAAAGTTCTTCATAGGAACACGGCTGCAGCGGAGATTTTGAGAACCCGAAAGCGTCATACATATGATTCAAGTCCCTTGCAAGGTCTACAAAGTATCCACATAGGAACAGTTTAGAGACTCCAGTTCCCTGACTAGCATAACTGTCCTTGTTAGATGCTTGGAAACCACTGCACCCAGCAAAAACCTACATAAACAGGAAGAGAACATGCAAACGCCACACTGAAGGTGTCTCTGTCCAGATTGGCCACAGGACATAAGATCTGTGAAGCAGTACTCACTATGTCGCCATGGTATCACAATTCCACATATTTTTAAATCAAATGAATATAAAAGATTTGCATAGTCCCTCTCGCTTCATGTAGTACTTGAGACAGACAAAGAGTACGGGTGAACCATAGCACTTTCTTATGAACAGTGTGCCATGATGCCAGAGGATTGTGAACCTTATTGCAGGTGAATTCCACAGGGCTAGTGGATTGTACTTGCAAAGGAGATTGAGACAAAGGCCGGTTTTTAGAAGATGTGTTTATGCATCTGAGGATGTGGATGTGTATGTATACTGTATGTGTATGTTTTTATTGTAAAGGTTACAGATGAGAGGCCTTTCAGACCATCCGTTTTGTTTGGCAGCTAATAAGTAATTGATCCAAGGCTGTCATCCAGCCAGAGGCTTCAGCAGGGTAGGTATAATGGCTGGGTAGTGTGTTCCATACTCCTACAACCCTTTGTGCCTCCTAGTCTCAGTTTCAAATGCACCCACACAGTTTCTCCTTGTGTCGCCCGGTTTGTGTTTCACTGGGTTGACTTTATCAAAACATGTGAGGATCTTGAATACTTATATTTCAGCCTTGTAGTTTTCTCTGTTCAAACTAGAAAAGATAAGTTATTTCAGCCTGTCAGTGTAAGACTTTCACTTAAGCCCCAGAATGTACCTGGTCTGATTTAATCTTTTTTAGACTGTAATGAGCATACTTAAACACAATATTCTGAATAAGGTCTTGAAAGTGCATTGTATAATTTTAAAATAGCAATAATTTATTAAAAATGTATCACATTTAACTTTCTACACTAACATTTTGCCTTTTACTTACTCTATTACAGATAGAATATGGACTGTGTATTATACTAATAATATGTGTATTTGATTTAATGACATGGTAACATAAATATCTGAGTCCAAACTCCCATTTTCTAACCACCTCTTCCAATTCAGGATTGCAGAGGAGTCAGAGCCTAATCCTGGCAAGCAATGGGCACAAGACAAGTCAACCCTGGCCAGTCCATTGCAGGGCACACAGAAGCAGACACGCACACACCTAGGGCCAATTTTTCCAAAAGCCACTGGTATGTTTTTGGATTGTGGGAGGGAATCGGAGCAAACTGAGGAAATGCACATGAACACGGGGCGAACATGCAAACTCCACACAGACAGTACCCCAGGTCCAAAATTGAGCCAAGGGCTCTGGCACTATGAGGCAGCAATAAAACCACTGCACCATCCTACATATCTGAATGTTTTTAAGATATGCAAAAAATGCATAAATAGCTTCGTCAAGCTCAGCCTTTCACATTTTGTATTTGTTGTTTGTTTTTGTTACCCTATGCACTCTACACTTGTTTGCTTTAAGAGTCATCTGCCAGGTGTTTGCCTAGTCTTGAATTTTATCTAAATCTTTCTGAATTTGATTTGCTACTTCTACAGTGTTTGCTAATCCTCCTATTTTGGTATCATCTATAGATTTGACTACTTTACTAAGTATATCACAATCTAGAAGATCATTAATCTAAATTAGGAAGAGCGCCAGTCTTACATCACCAGAATTTGAGTACTCATCAGTACTGTGATCTCTATTTTCTATCAATAACCAGTTTTCAATCTAAACACTAGAGCCCTGAATGCCTACTGCCAGTAATTGCACAATGAATCTTTTGAGAAGAACTTTGTCAAAAGCATAATGAAAATCAAAATCAAAATATTCCGTATTGTATGGTTTATGTGTTCTTAGAGTTACTGTGGCTGCTTCTTCAAAGAACACTAACATGTTGGTTAAGCAAGGCCTGCCTTTCCTAAAAGCTGTTGATCATTCTTAGTGTTAATCTTTGGTTCTGCATTAAACACATTGTGCATGCTTCCCTCTGTTTACTTTTTCTTCCTTTTGTGTGCCTTTATCTTGTAGCTAGTAAGGTTTGGGCATGGTTGGTTAACTGAGACACTTGACCTGTGCTTGTCTGTGCCTTTGCAGGGGCTGAGGGGGTGCCTGGGGGGAGTCTGTGTGTGTGTTTGTGTGTGCCTCTGCAGTGGATGAGAGAGAGTATGTGGGGGAGTCTGTGTGTCTGTGAGTGTGCATGTGTGCCCCTGCAGGGGTTAAGGAAGTTTATGTGGAAGTCTGTGTGTGAGTGTGTGTGCCTCTGCAGGGGTTGAGACAGTTTGTATGGGAGTCTGTGTGTGCCTGTTTGTGTTTCTGTGAGTGTGGGTGTCTGTGCCTCTGCAGGGCTTGAGAGAGGGTATGAGGGGGAGACTGTGTGTGAGTGTTTGTATGTCTGTGAGTGTGCGTGTGTGTCTCTGCAGGGCTTGAGAGAGAGTATGAGGGGGAGTCTGTGTGTGAGTGTTTGTATGTCTGTGAGTGTGCGTGTGTGTCTCTGCAGGGTTTGAGAGAGAGTATGAGGGGGAGACTGTGTGTGAGTGTTTGTGTGTGTCTGTGTGTGTGTGTTTCCCTGCAGGGGTTGAGAGAGTATGTGGGAAAGTCTGTGTGGGTGCGTGTTTGTGTATCTGTGTCTGTGAGTGTACATGTGTGCCCCTGCAGGGGTTAAGGAAGTTTATGTGGAAGTCTGTGTGTGAGTGTGTGTGCCTCTGCAGGGGTTGAGAGAGAGTATGTGGGAGAGTCTGTGTGGGTGCTTGTTTGTGTATCTGTGTCTGTGAGTGTGCGTGTGTGCCCCTGCACAGAATATGCACAGAGAGAGTATGTGGGGACCCAGGGTGCCTTACTGAGCTAAGCGGTATCTTGGGGATATTTTTACTAGTAGACTGAATGCAAGCTGGAACCCTCACTTAATGTGCTTTTGTCTGCTTTATTTCTAGAGCTTTGTTGACGTATGTTAGTGCTATATTGGTGTCTGAAGCAGGAAGCAATGCAGGCTGAAGCCAAACCTTTCAACAATTATTTAGAGAAGGAGAGAGAAAACAGAAGGGAAGGAGGGGCCATGGGGAAGACAGAGAGATTCAGTGTGTGTCTGAAGCAGCAGCGAGAGAGCAACCTTGACTGGCACCCAAGTGGAAGACAGCGATTCCAGGATGAAGCCATAGCAATGCTGAGGGATTTCCAGCACCTACTTCTCTTCCTTTCCAGCACCTGGAGTAATAAATCTGGCAGGCTAGGAGAACACTGGGCCTAGGTGAAAAGGGGCCTTTGCATCACCTCTTCTTCCTCAGCTTTCTTCGTGCCTTTTGCCCCTTGTGCAATGTGAAAATGAGGACAGCCTCTGAAAGGCCACGAGTGAACCCGCCAAAGGAAGGTCATGGAAATTGCGGAAGCTGCAGTTGGTTGGGGAGCACCACACTTAAAGATGGCGGAGTCTTGAGTCCTTTAACTTCACCGCATTGGTGACTCAGCCGTCACTATGCCTTTGAGTGAAGCTTTGCAAAGGTGGCTGGCAAGGGTCAATGACAATACGGAGCAGGTGCCTGAAATACCCTTGGAGCAAAGTGTGCAGTCCAAGTGACAGAACATCACTGGCAGTCTGGATTAGAGGGAATTGTGGGGGGGGGGGGAGGAAAGCAGCTTCAAGGCAGATACCACAGCAATTCCTTTTCTTGGAGGTTCTGCAGACTGCAGATGGATGAAGACTGTAGCAAAGCTCTGCAGCTGAAAGATCAGCAGTAAGTACTGGAGGCTTTCCAGATGGACCACCATCAGGTGGTGAAAGGTTTCTGAGTGAAGAGCTCAACATTTGCAGAAAAAGAAGGAACTTTATGTTTTCAAAACTCTGCCGGTGATGAGCTATACTTCTTCAAAGACCTGGGTATGATCACCAAATACGCAACCTGTTCATTTTTCCTTGTGACATACAGAACATACTGTACATATGAATATATACAGTATGTACTTAATTCCAAAAGAAATGTACAATTTAGAGACTGCAATAAATGAGACAAAATTGTATTATCTGTGGATATTAAGTAAAATAATTTCAGAAACAAAAAAAATATTTTCACACAATGTGTCTAAATTTCTAATAAACACCATGTAGATGTTCCTTACTTTTCAGAACTGAGATGCACTTAAAGATGAGAATCAAATTAAATATTCAAATGAAATGAAATATTATAGGAGGCACAACCATCTGGGTGTGTATACACAGTAAACAGTCACCTCATGATATGCCAAATATACATCTCAGTTGCAACAACTGCCAGATCACTGACTGTACTGTACACTCTACTGTAGGGGGTGCTATCCTTTAGATTAGATGTTATACCAGGGTGTTGACTACTCTTTCTGCTGTTCATAAGAGTACGAATATTAAAACCCCAGTAAAATTCCTCCCTGGGCCTGCAAAATCTACCCTGCTTTTTGAACAGCACCAAACAAATGCAAGGGGTTATTATGAATTATTACAATACTTTGTGAAGTTTACTACAAAAAAATTAAACAGTGTATTTTACATGATCACATACCTGGCTACTTGGTACAGTACTCTTTTCCCTATGGTTAAAGACTGAATGAATAATGATAGCAGATTCCAATTAGTTTGTAAATGATAGGCTAATTTCTTTGTGTTGTTTTACTGTAACCTGGTTCAATGTGTCTGTGCCAACAGCCATATCACCCTGCAACTCACAATTGACAACCCACTGAAGCTCAGCAGGTGTGAGCCTGGTCAGTACCTGGATGGGAGACCAACTAAAAAAAAATTGTTTTTTTTAAAAAAGGTTGCTGCTAGAAGAGGTATTAGAGGGGCCAGCAGAAAATATACAGTTTTTATTTTACTTAAAAGCCAGGGTCTCACAACTGCACTTGTGTATTCTTCAATCTACAGCATTTATAAGAAATTATAGCAAATATCAACAGTTCAGTGGACCTCCAGGATTAGGACTGAGAATTCCTGGACCAAGAGTACATTTGGTAAGTTATTATTGATAAAATGTACAAAACAGTATAGTAGTTCTGTTTCAGTATTTCCATCATATTGCTCCCCCTGCTGCTGCAATAAGGTAATTGTATTTATATAGCAGCCACATTTACTGGGGAAAAAAACCTAATGCTTTTTTGTGCAATTACAGTTGAGTGCAAAAGTGTGGGCACCCCGTGTCAAATTGTAAGTTTTAATGAATCTCTAAGTGAAAAGAAGCTGAACCAAATTCTGTGTGGTACAAAACTTAACATTTCTGCAAACAGTTTTGTAGATATTCAAAGCGAGAAAAAACAGTGAATCTGACGTGCGGTAGTCTGTGTACTCTGTCAGTCAGTACTTAGTAACATCTCTATTGGCAGAAATCAGAGCATCCAAACCTTTTCTGTAGTGAGAAAAGAGTATTTCTATTTTTGCTTTTGGAGTTTTTCCTACTCTTGCTTGAGGAACTCTTCTGGCTCAGAACTATTCTTAGGTCTTGCATGCACTGCATGCTTGAGATCTCCCCACAGATTTTCAATAATATTCAGATATTGCAGTGATCTCTGGGTTCTGCTTTGCAGATCTGCCCAGTTTTCAGGCAGTTCTATCAGATTTTTCTGGGTCTCCTAGATCTTGCCTTGACTTTAACTTTTCCTTTAACTTTCATGTGTCAATGGTGTTTCTGACAGTTGAAATTTCCTGCTGGAAGCATTTAGACACCATTTTATAGCCTTCCTCTGCTTTGTAAGAGTGAATTATCTTTATCTTCAAGCCCTCAGACAGCTGCTTAGAGGAGACCATGGTTGTTGAAAGCAAGCAGAACAGAAATCACAACCTGAGAGCTTAGAAGGGTCAGAGTATTTGTTCAACCATGGAATTCTTCACCTGGCTCAATTTAAGGCCTAACGAGTCAGTCAAGTTTTGGGGCCTTTGAAAAACACAAATTAAAAACCTAGTAATGAATCAACTATGAGGGTGTCCAGACTTTTGCACCGGTTACATTCACTTTTTTATTTTTTCAATAAATATTAAATAATAAATCATACTTTTGCATTACAGTTTACAGAAAGCTGTTGGGTTTCACTTAGTACCATACAGAGGTCATGTCACCTCTTGTTCACGTAGAGATTAAATGAAACGTAATTTAACCAGGGGTGCCTAAATGTTTGCACAAAACTGTATGTTTTTAGAAAAATAAGATACAGTATACAGATTTAGGATATTGATAAAATGTTATTTGTATCATTTTGACTAATCACCTGAGCAATATCGAACATCTACTGATCTGTGGGATGATTTGTGGCAACTAGGGCACAAGCACAAGCTTGTCCTGGTACTGAGGGATGAATGGGACAGAACAAGACAGTATACAGACACAAAGCACTTTTTTCTGGGTCGACTCTGAGTGACACTACTTCCACAGGTTATCCCAATTAGAAAATAAGTTATCCTAGATATTAACTTTACTTTCATACATGTGCCAGAACAATGACCATTAACATTCCCAGTCTCCCATTTTGTAGCAGCGGTTGCCTTCTTAATTTAGTGGCCACATGCATGGGAGGGTTTCTTCTCTCAGATCCTTAGGAAAAGCACAATCCAGCCTAAAGCTACTGCACTTGATTTCCAGCTACAGGGGAAAACCCTTAGCACACAGGCCTATGATCCAAATGCATAAGTGATATTATGTAGTCTAAAGTGTATAATAGCGGTTTCGCAATAAGCACCAATGGAGAAACTTCTGCTGTTCAATAAATGGTAACACAACTGACAGTCCAGTCCAGTTACTTAGAAGAGATTTACCGAGAAGACAAAGCGACCGAAAAGAGCTTTTATACAAAATATACCACTAGGTGGTGCTGCTATGCCGCCTTTGACTGTATGGGAAATTTGCACAACCTGGGACATTAACATTTTATTTTCTTTCACTTTATTGATGGTCATCAAGTTCTATGATTCACAGGGGCCTTTATAAGACATCCGGTGATGAAACTGAACACTAACCAAAACAAACCTGTGAATATAGATAAATCATTGAACAGGACAGGATACTAAAGTTAAGATACTCAGGTTGAGAGGGTTTGCTCCAGAGTTCACCAGAGTTTGAATTTTTTTTACAAAGATTAAGAGTGTTTGGAGATGAACAGAAAATAATGCTCCTCTTTTACAATGCTGCAATAGAGACTGCTGTTTGTTATGGTATAACAGTGTGACTTGGTCATTTATCAGTCCAATTAAGAAAAACAAAAATCACCCAACTTGTCCAAAGAGCAATGAAGGCAATGAGAGTGAACCAGTTCTCCTCCTGGCAGACAATGTTTGAACAATTCATGATACAACAGGGAGAAAACTTATATCTGAATCTTTTCATATTGTTAATTATGAAAATCAACTTGTTCCCTCTAACACATGTTTAAGGGTTCCCAAATGTAGATCAAATACAAATATTTATTCGTTCGGTTCCTTTCGTTGGTTGATTCGTTCTATTTAAGCAATTAACACGCACACAAAGTGCCAAGGATAAATGCAATTGTCACAGTATAAACCAATTAAGGTGTCATGCACAACAGACGGGATGTGTAGTGTTTAGTGATGTATTCAGATGGACAGAAGCGCTATGTGTCCATAAAATTCTGCTAGGGTATGATAAAGTTGATCTTATCTTGAAGTTGCTGACACAGAACTAAATTAACTTGTAAAGTGAATGATAAACGTTTACTAAATTGATATTACTGCTTAATTGTTATGTGAGGCCTGGTAATATAAGAGTATCCCTTGAATGTGAAAACATCTATTTTAACTTAATGATTTGCAGTTTTCCATATATTTTTTTAAAAACGTTATTTTTATTGAAAAGTACAATCGTAATTGGAATTGATGACTAATCTAATGTTAATCTGTAAAACGAACAGTTCACATCTGATTACTGATTTAATGCAGGCTGTAAAATTTAGCATGAAGACATTGTAAATTGAGTTATGCATTATTAGCAGATTCATTAAAAAATATTAAATATTCTAAATTTATAAACATACATAAAGACTTTTATTTAGTTAGTCTCTACATGTTAATTAAGCAGATGTATTAAGAAAAGGTTTAGCGCTCAATTTACAAGTTAACTTATTTTCGTTTTCTTGACAATTTTAAAATCCTCACAAAATGTCTCAAGAGATTATAGGCTCAGGTAGCAACCCCAGAGAACGTAGAAAACTGGTCTCTGGTTTGTAGGAAAATAATGCAAACACGTTTCTCTTCAAGCTGCGGTGCTATCACGATGTATCTTAGAAGAGCACTCGGAAAACAACTAAGACATGTTCAACTTCAGTTCCAGATGCGCTTGTGCTGTGCATAGCCATAACTGTCGTCCGGCACTCACTGGCTTCCAGGTGCCCCGAGTCTGTAACTACAACTATGTCGGCGCGGATTAGAAATCGAAACTCGGTACACCCACCACAGACCCTGAACCTAACCAAATCCCTAATTTACCTAATTTCCAAACCCTAATACTGTAGCGCGCATTACGATTATCTTTCCGGTTTCTTCTAGTTACCACGCCTAAACCACGCACGTCAGACTGTAGGCATCAGGCTTCTGCGAGTTCTCTTTGCGCCCTCCGCCCGGAAGAAGCCAGTCACAGCCTGAGAGAAACATGGGGTACAGTGTAGCCTGGACATTTGCGTACTTCTAATAAACTGACAAACGGTCTTGATCGTGGCTTCCAAGTCAGAAGTTCGCGAGGATGCATCTCTTCAGGAAAATGACCCGTTAAATGAGATTACTGAGACTGACTGATGAAGTTAAAGATCTAGGTAAGGGAGGACGTGGTGGTCTTCTGGAAAGAAAAGAGTAACAATTATACAAGTTGATCCAGCGGTGAATTTGATTCAACCTTGATAATTACAGCGACTAAAAATCCCAGCGTCTTCAGTTCATTTCGTTTTTTTCCTGATACTTTTTTTTACATTTGTGTTGCGGCTGTCAGATTTTCAGGAGTTGTTTCTGGGGGAAACTGCTTGTCGAGAACGACGATCTTTCTTATTAGATCCGACAAGATAAGTGAAGTAAGTCAGCGGGGATAACGCATCAATCCCACGTACAATTTTTTTAAATGCTTACTTTTTAATATCGCTTTAAACTTTTCGTAAATCTGATTAGAATGCCTGATCAAAATCCCAGTTTACCCGGAAGAGCTCTCCAAAAAACTTGCACACTTGTGGTGTTCCTTTGCGCTGTCCATCTCTCGGTCACCCTTCTCTATTATTTAAATACTTTAGACGTCTTTCGTAACTCGTTTGCCCAAAACCAGCAGCAGAACACCTATAGCACCTCAGCTCTAAGCCGTTCTGAAGCGACCTTAACGTCAAACCTTTCTGAACGACAACCTCCTGGAGCAAGGTCGCCAACAGTGAAAGCCAAAGACCTTGAGCAATGTCCCGAAACTTCACCTCTTCTAGGTAAGTACAATACTTTGGCGCAAATCTTATTTATGTTGTATTGTCATTAGACTGCGTCTAGGTACTAGAGCTTTATTTTGGGTGTCTGGGGTGAAGAACTCCATCCGTTCTAATCATGTCTGGTGGAACACTCTGAAATTACTGTTGTGTGGCAGTTCACTTTGAAGCCGTGGCATTTCATAATTAAGGGATTGGCTAAGAATTCTCAGTTGCGGTTTACTTAAATATACATAGCATAGCATATATTTTCCTGATAGTGCTTCAAAATATTCAAAAGGTATTCAGAAAGCCCTTTCTTGTCAGAGCTAGAATTAATTACACCAGCATCATTACACCTAGGTCTCAGGTCTCAGTCTTCCCCCCAGGTCAGAATCTCTGAGAGAGAAGAGGGATTCTCCTACATTCTCCCCCAGTAAAGGGAGTGGGCACCCTGTGCTGTAGGAGCTACCTTCCCTCAGATGAGAAGTTGAAAAGTGGAAAAATCCTGTCCTCTAGGTGACTAAAGCACATTTCCATATGGTGCTGTCTGGAACTGCAGAGTGAGAGCCTGGTATCCTGGCTAAATGTTCCTTTGAACTTCGACTATCTGGTCTGCTGGAAGCTGTTCTTGAATCCAGATGGAGATGTAATTTCTCTCTTCTCAGCCTGATCTGCTGTGTAGTGGGGCTGCTTGTATCATAGCTTTGGCAGGTCACACAGATGGGAGCTGCATTTCAGTGGGGAATGAATCTGTTCCCTCTTGTTTCTAAATTGCTTTGGGACCTTGGGGATGAAATGTGCTGTATGAATCTGATTTATCTTTGTCATATCAAGTATACTGTGTGATAACTATAATTATAATACCAGCAAAACAAGTAAGAATAACAAAATAAGCCAATGATTATATTCAAATGATACAGTTAGTATGGAAGCTAAATCTTTAATTCTGTCTAACTCCATAAAAGACTATGCAGTTTAGGGTCTTGTATTTGGTGATAAAGGAAATGCACATAATTAATAAGTTTTGCCTGGGACAAAACCTGTTTCTCGGGTTGGAGACAATTGTGGTTTGCTCATGGACTCCATATAAAAGGCTGTTCAGATACTTAAAACATTACTTGAAATGTTTCATTTGAAAGTAAGTAGGCAATAGTTTTGGATCTTGCCTAGTCTCTAGCCTAGAGACTCGCACACAAAATCAACACACAAAGATAAAACATGTTGCCATACTATATGTATGGGATCAGTTATCTTGCATTTGAGCCTGAGGCTCAACATATCCTTAAAAAGCAATCAATTTAATCAGAACTTTTGTTCAGGTCAATGGTAGTGTCAGTGATTAAGTGGTTAATCAAAAAAATTAAACTCTAGAAACCTTGGGGACAATTAATCAGATCAGAGGAACAATAATGCACTTTCTTTATATTAACCTGTGCCAGTACTCTGTCACCAGAGCAGCAGTATCTTTTTTTCTAACATAGTGGCCAAAACTGTACTCATTAAATGAGTAAAGACTCTAAATGAGACTGTAATAGTGCATTGTCCAGTTTTACCATAACATCCCTGTATTTACATTCTATGCCTTTAACAAACCCTTAACATTTCTCTTTCCCTACATTGTGTAGATGTTGTAAATGATATGTTGACATCAGATACCTGAGTCTTATTCATAAGCCTCTTCTAGTTCCCATTTTGTATTTAGTTTCTGTTTTCTACCTACATGTAAAACTATGGACTGCCTTACATTAAACGTCATTAGACAGGTGTTTTTCCAGTCCTGTAGTTTTCATAAATGCATGACTCTTGACTTATTTCAGAGCAGCAATATCGTTTCTAAAATGTTGTAACCAAAATTGTACATAATATTCCAAATTAGGTTTTACTAGTGTGTTGTACAATTTTAAGACAACATCCCTTGTTTTAAAATTTTACACTATTAATCCTTGTGCGACATCGTTTATGTGACATGCCTTTCATTTTGCTTTTTTGATTGCTTTTCCACACTGTTTAGAAGCGTAAATTTCATGTGAACATACAGTCCCAAGTCTTTTACATTATTAACGTCTTCTAGTTCAGCATTTCTGATTTTGTATTCATAGTTTATGTTTTTATTTTCAGGTGTTGGCCCAATCTTGAATTTGATCTAATCTTTCTCTTACATAATTTCTCTTATCTAATTGAATGCTTTTGAATTTCAATAGCTGTTTTGGCAGTGGTAGTCCTAAACTGAGCTAGTTTGCTGCTTATACAGTACCAGGCACTAGATCATTGATATAATGTTAGAGAAAAGAGCAGTGCTTCTAAGACTGATTTCTGTGGTACACATTTAAGCACATTGCCTCAGTTTGATCATTTACATCTTATTTGTATTTTGTTACTTTTCCAAACATACTTACCGCCCATAATTTATGAATTACTTTTTTGTGCGAAATGTTATTAAAGCCATATGAAAATCCAAATATCCCATAGCATGTGCTATGTATGTGTCCAGTACTTACGGTGTCTTTCCAAAGAACGATTTTAGTTTTTAAAGCTAGGTGAACTATCCTTTAAGTGACGCATAGATCCTGATTCTGATATAATTTTTAGATTCTGCGACTGTCATTCGTTTTGGCTGTTTGGTTTGCAGTGTTTTGGTGCAGTAGGTTAGGTGGCCGTATTTTGAACAGATTTCTAAGGATGAGTGAAATGTGCACTCAAACAATGTTAATTATTGGAAATGGTGAATATGTTTACAAGGCAGTTTCACATCATGGGAAGCATTAGAAGTTGTTTGCTCTAGAAAGTTCTAGAACTCTAGGAAAATGCAGATATAATTTTCCGTATAATTGCTTTTACTAAGTTACCAGTTTTGGTGGCACATGGGCACAGCTGTTAACATTGCTGCCTCGCAGCGCTGGGGCCCTGAGTTGAATGAGTGCAGTTCTGGACCTGGGGGGCTCTCTGTGTGGGGTTTGGATGTTCTCCCCATGTTTGAGTGGGTTCCTTCCAGGTGCTCCAGTTTCCTCCCACAGTCCAAAGACATACTGTTGGGTTAATTGGCTTGTGGGAAAATTGGCCCTGGGTGTTAGCTTCTCTGTGTTTGTCTTGTGCATCCCGTCTAACGTGTACCCCGGCTTGTTGCTTGCCGGGATAGACTCCAACTCCCCCACGACCCCAGATTGGATGAAGCAATTAGAAAATGGATGGATGTATCGATATGTATGCAATTCAAAGACATATAGGTGCCTGAATTGACACAGAATGTTTTTTTTTGTTGTTGTTCTCTGCAGTGGGTCCCTTGAGAATAGAGTTTTCTCAGCCCGTGGGCTTGAAACAGATCGAGTTAGAAAACCCCGAGCTCAGAGATGGTGGCCGATACATGCCAAAGGACTGCGTAGCCCGGCAGAAAGTGGCCTTTATTATTCCATTCCGCAAGCGTGAAGAGCACCTGAAGTTCTGGTTGTACTACCTGCATCCCATTCTCCAGAGGCAGCAGCTCGACTACGGGGTGTATGTGATAAACCAGGTAAGAATCCACTTCGACAGAATGGTGTCATCGAAAGGCAGGTGACAGCTCTGGTATGTTGTTGCTGTTTTTGCATTCCATTCAAATGTTGTTGCATTGGCATTTTGCATTCCTCGTTTTGTGTTGTTAAAAAAAGTGCAGAGCCTCCTGTGTATTTTTTGTTTCCGGAATGCACGAGAACTATCCTTTGAAGGTGTGTGGCCTTTTTCTCCCAGCTGTTGGACTTTGAGGAGTAAAAGTCCGAAACAATTAGTTCTGCCTGATATAGTAGAAATGAAGTGGTTTGTTACTTTTAGAATGAATGACAGTTGCAAAATTAACTAAGTGTTCAGCTCTGTGCACTTAAGCATGAATCTTTTTTTTTAAACAGGTACTGTATATGTAGACAACGTCTGCACTGTAGAGTTTTTGCCGACATGCCAATACTCAATATACATTTACAAGGGTCGTCTTACGTACTGTTGTCGGTTATTTCTTAAGATTTGACTTGGTTATAGTTGCTGATACAGCCAGACTTCCATAGTACAAAGTTTGTCACTGGTGTCACAGCGCCCGTGCTTGTGAAATTAACACAGTTTTATTGCTGCCTTATCCAGAACTGTTAACAAAGGATGGGGTTCAAAACAGAAAACCAAAAGCATGCGTACATTTAAAAAACCTGTTTTATCAAGCTAAGAAGAAACCATGTGACACTAAGATGGCTTTAAACAGCTTTTCTCTGTTCTGTCCTGGGCATAAAAATTCCCTATTCACACACAGAGCTTTTTTACTAAAATGAATATTTTCATATTTTGGATATGAATTAAATGTTTGTGGTATCATTTTGATTACTTGATTACTCACTAATTAGACTGGAGCATCCGGGTAACAATTGCATGAGCACAAAATTGCTTCATTAGTGAGAGAGATGAGGTGATTTAATATTTTGAGTTAAATCAAGTGGGGAAAAAAAGGAAGAAAAATGGATAAGAACCCAAAGGTCGCACTTATCAACAGAACAACACCTTTCTGCCCCCAGTATGTTGTAGACTGTCATTCACTGTCTGGGGTATTCACAGTTTCTAACCTCTCCAAAATCAAGAGGAAGGTGCAAGTGTAAGGTCTATAAAGGACTGCGTGGTGCAACGTTGGTCAAGTCCTGGGATCTCACTCAGTGCTTTTTCTGGGCCTGATCCTGACATGACAACATTCTAGAGACGACAGTGGCATGTCGACAGCATACATCCTTGTGCTTCTTTTTCAACTGTGGCTTTCTTGGGAGTGGAGAGTGTGACAGCTCTACCTAGTCTTTAGCCCCATTGAACATTTGTGAAATGAGCTGAGGTTACACGTGGCACGTAGGGTCCAGAAACTGGGGATTGACGCATGCTTGTTCAGGCTTTATGAATCTCACAAGACATCATCTCCAACTTGGTGTGAAGCATAAGTCAGAGGTGTGCAGCTTGTTTTGTTTCCAACAGTGGTCACAGACATTAGCTTGTAACTTTCACAGTAGACCCCCTTGTCAGCCAGCCAGCCATATCACCTTGCAACTCACAACTGGCAACCCACTGAAGCTCAGCAGGTGTGAGCCTGGTCAGTACCTGGATGGGAGACCTCCTGGGAAAAACTAAGGTTGCTGCTGGAAGAGGTGTTAGTGGGGCCATCAGGGGGCGTTCACCCTGTGGTCTGTGTGGGTCCTAATGCCCCAGTATAGTGATGGGGACACTATACTGTAAACAGGTGCCGTCCTTCGGATGAGACGTAAAACCGAGGTCCTGACTCTCTGTGGTCATTAAAAATCCCAGGGCGTTTTTCGAAAAGAGTAGGGGTGTAACCCCGGCGTCTGGGCCAAATTTCTCATGGCCTCATAGCCTCCTAATAATCCCTCTCTATGAGTTGGCTTCATTACTCTGCTCTCCTCCCCACTGATAGCTGGTGTGTGGTGAGCGTTCTGGCGCACTATGGCTGCCGTCGCATCATCCAGGTGGGGCTGCACATTGGTGGTGGTGGAGGGGAGTCCCCATTACCTGTAAAGTGCTTTGAGTGGAATGTCCAAAAAAGCACTATATAAGTGTAAGCAATTATTGTTATTATTAATTGTCAATAAACTCTTGATGTTAATAGTCATAGTGAATCTACATACGTCTGTTCAATAAATAAGATGATAAGTTTCTTGATAATTGGTGGTAAAGGTGGTTTACTACAGTAGATACCATTAAATATTACTGACAATCAATCAGTTTTAATTGCATAATTTTTCAATTTTGGTCCAAACACTTTCTATAATATTTTCACATTTTTTTAAGAAGTGAATCTATTTATAAATTGCTGAACCACAATAATCTTGTCTCATGACATTATGCTATTGGCAGAAGGTAAATATGTCTGGATATTTAACAAGCGAGAAAATAAACCTTTTAGGATCTGTAACAAGTAAACAAGTCTGGCAGCCTCTTTTTAAATCCTTCCCAAGTATTCATTCTGTAATTTTACTCTTTCTGTCTATGGAGGTGGGACATTTCTGCTACACAGTCTGAGGAAGAAGACTTTTTTGAATGCTTGATTTTGGCTTTTATCATGTTACATGCATGCCTTTTTAAGCAGTTTGTCTGAGTGGGTTAGCTGCACTAAGCCTGCCTTAACTGTATTAAAACAGCCTTTCTAGGATCCCATGCCAAACAAACCTGTCTAACTTCAAGGGCTCAGTCGAGTGTGATATTTGTTTTGTCACATTGTTCTGTGATTCATCATTCTGTGTAGCTTCACCGCCACATTGCAACACTACTAAGCCACCTTTTTCTTTACATGTGCTCTTTTTTCACAAAAAAATTTACTGAATCTTTATCCAGTAGTTCCATACACACCAATTTTCTCTGATCTTGGACTACACAAGAGAATGTTGGGGTTGTTACATGTCCTTATTGTGAATTGAGTTCTTTCTAAACTGTAAAAGCAGCAACACAAAAGAAACTGAGGTTACAGTCACAGAGTGCCCTAATTTCATTATTTACATCTAATGCCATTCATGTTCTTTTTGCCATTTATGTGCTTCAAAGAATTCGTGAAGATTTTATAAACTATGACCACATCTGTTTCTCGTGCTCGTCTGGCGCACATTCTCAGATTGAGCTATAACTTATTCCTGTCTTCCCTGTAGCTGAAGCCACACACACACACCTGAGCTCGTCTTAGCTTTGCCTTCTTTGGCGAAATCTCCCACATGCTTCTTCATGCCTGTCCCAAATGTGACAGGGCACCGTTACTGCATTTATATCGCTTGCGTGTAATAGTTATTCATTTATATACTGTAGATTTTGTAGTAGTTAGTTATTTCTTAATCTTCTCAAATGTCCAGAACAGTGTTTTATTTGTTTCATTATGAGACTCCTTGAGCAAACAGAGCTTTCCAGCACCTTCTCACAGCAAGAGATTTACACAGGTAACGAATTGGGGGAGTTTCACACGTCGTGGTCTAGTGAGTGAAGAGAGGGGGCGGCAGGGTTTTACTTTGGATGTGAAATCCAATGAAAGATGCAGAGAAAGGGGCAGAAAATAGAAAAAAGTGTGATGCCGAACAATGAAGGAATTAAAATGGGGGATTTAAATTATGCTTATTGTTTAAATTTAATTATATTTCAATTTCATTTCAGCCTTGAATGAAACCACAATGTTAATAAACAGCAATAAAAGTAGGTTTCATTTTTTCTGCAGCAGTAGAATTTTTAACATAGGTTTTTCTTATTTTTATTAGTTCAAGTGACTTCACTAAGTTTTCGGGTGCTGCTGTGCCTTGTGTCTTAACCTTTTTCAATATTTAGGAAGAAAACCTTATGTTGACAGTTGTTGAACTGTTAATTGGGTTTGTCGCTTAATTTTGTGGATAGCCCCCATGCTAGAGCTTTTTTTTTTAAAAAAACATTCTTTCTCCTCCTTTTGTTACAGTTTTTTTTTTACTCACACTTATCCTTTCCACCTTTACAGCCTTCTTGCCAGTTTAAAGCTTGGAATGAGTATACAGTGCATGGCATAAAGATACTAGGGTAACTGCTGGTTGTGTTGGACAGCACAGTTATCCAGCACAGTTCAGGGCCCTTGTGAAAGACTTGTACTATTTTGCATTAGCCACCAATGGAACTGAACACACGACTCGATAGTTTAAATTGCTTGTATTTGTCATGCTTGCCCGGAAGGCACAGCTTCTAACACTAGCCTAGAAATCCCCCCAGTTCCTCTCGAACACAGCAGCAGAGGCCAAGAAACACACCATGTTGGGCGAATGGCCTTCAAGCAACAAGATACAGGGGTGGAGAGACAGATGTGCGCCCTTCATAACATATAAATCTTTCGCTCTCTGTTTTCAGTGCCAGCAGATATATTTAGCAAGTGTTTTGGTTGTGATATTTTTAATCACCCGTCCCCCTTGTACTGCAGCATACTAATCAAGTCCCATCTTTTTTTTCCAGTTGGATTTTATTCTTCCAGGAATGTGGAAGGGCTAGTTAGAATGACTGCATGGCTTCCTCTTTGCTTGTAATCGTTATGGGAGACTCGGGCATTGAATGTTTTGAAGGTTTGCACAGGAAAAGACCTGCAGCTGCATTCTTGGACGAAAACTCCTCTGGGGGTGGGTGTCATAACAGCTAAATTGCACTGCAACAGGAAATCCAGTTAAACACAGATGTTTACAGATACTTTTCACAAGGGAGTCTGAGTATTTTAAATTTATTGTATTTTTACAAGGCACTGGAGTTCGAAATAGCCCAGGTGTGCTGAATGCACAACTCAAAGCACACAAAATATTAGGAAGCAGGCAAGCACGCAAATCCTCACGATCCCACAACCAGAAATAGTGGTATATATTATCAAAAATAGTTCTTCACAGTCCAGGATGCCTTGTGATATGTGACCTGGATCTTGAGAACTACATTCAACATAGATTATGGCACCTAAATTCCAGAGCCCTCATGTTTTTTATATAATTCCAGATGTCTCAGATTGGTACTTTCTTCCTGCTCAGTTTGCTAGGCTTTTGCACCTACAGTGCTTTGCAAAAGTATTCAGACCCTTGAAAAGTTTTCAAATGGTGATGGATTACAAATGATACTCACACATCTTTTTCCAATCAGTAGATTCAGACGCTCAAACAGAAGCACGTTACTGATAAAATTAGGTATTTGTCAGCAGCTGTCTAAAAAAAATTTAAAATGATGTGTACGTACTGTATCATTGGTAATCCAGCAAAATTTGAAAACTTAAAAAGTTTCTGAATACTTGAGCAAAGCACTTTAATTTCCAATGATGACAAGCAGTATCCTGCCATCAGTTGCTGACATTGAGATATGAAAAGAAAATCCACAAGGTTGTGTCTGACATGCTGAGGTTGTCCTCTAAAGTTGTATTGTGTATTAGACTAATGACGCAAGGGACTTCCATACTTTTCTTTTTTTTTATCAGATATTTCTTGAGCACAGTATTTGCAGAGGGCTTGGCTGGTATGATAAAAAGTAAGTGTGTGTCAAACACGTTTGTTGATGATGAGTCTCATCAGACACCCAATAGTGCCTGTGCCTTATTGCTGTACATGTTTGTTGAATCATTACATGATGGCTTGTCTTCTCTGTATTAAATACATTTGTTGATAAGATCACAATCATAATAATGTGCATACTGTGTACAGTGAAGTGTTGAAGTCTTTTGAAACTGCGCAGTATTCACATACTGTATTTAAGGTAGTTTTCATTGACATCTCTGGAGAGCTTAAGGTGTTTTCTTTTTTCAAGCCCTCTTGTTGTGTAACAAAATGCGTCAGGAACCTAAAGTTAATAGATTAATAGACCCTTCTGTGCAGCAAGGATAAGCTTTCAAGCCCTTTTTTTCTTAAATAAATAGCAGACTCTCCTTAAACCTATTGTTATTTCTAATGTTTCATATAAAAAAGAAAGAGATGCTGTTTGACCTGTTCCTCTAAATAAAGACCAGTTTCGCTTGTTGTACTTTGTAACCATGCTGCGTATATCCCTACCCGCTCCAGGAACAGAAGAAGACAAACTAAGGAGTTAAGAGGTTTAAGGAAGGCAGCTCAAGGAGCAAATGTCTTACCTCCTTCAGTGATAGAGTATGTTCTGTTGTTCTGTTGTGCTGTTGTCATGCTTTAGGATACATTGACCTTAAGTTTAAAATGCTTTTAGAAAATCGAAAGGGCCAAAGCCCTAAAGCAGATTCCTGATACAGAACTATATGTCTTCAAAGGTCTTTGCCATGGCTTTTGCCAGATAAAGCTTCTCCTTGAAAAGGCAAGTTTTTGTCATTTTGCCCCAGCAGAATTTAATTTATTGGGGACTGTGCCTTGTAATCTGCACTTGAAGAAATGGTTGGGCCCCTGATGCCTTTACTGTGTTTCTGCTCAATCTTTCTCTCTTTTTCTCCTATCCCTGTTCTCCCCTATTGACCCTGTTTTCCTTCTTCCCTTGTGCAAACCATTCCCCTTTACATGTCAGTCTTGTCTGTAGCCATGCGCGTTGCCTCTCAGAAGAGCTCAGACGACCGCGGTGTCATCTGGGGCCTGTCCTGTGATCGCTGAGCTGCTCGGGCACACCGGTAATGTGGGTTTAATCTTTCTCTGTGGCGAGATCTGTTTATCGAAGGTGTTTTGGCTCGTTCATTTTCTCTGACTCTAAATGGAGTTTGTAAAACCAGAAAAGACACAACAGGTCCATGAAAACTGGAGGATAAACCAGCTTTTAAAAAGGGCAACTCATTGTTTCTTGTTTCAGTTCAGAAAGTTAGTGTATAGCTCCAGTTTAAAATATTGGCCCCTTGGGTAAGGCTAGGAACAATAATTAGCTATATTGCATTGATATCAATTGCTTACTAAGCTAAGAACACATCCATTCATGGAGCAAGATTCTGCTACTGTCAAAATAGTCCCTATATACAGTATGTAAATCCTTGTTCCTGAAACAAAGAGTGATACATTACGTTTGCACAGGTTAGTTTTGTTTGCTTTCCTGTTTAAAAAAAAACATATGCAAAACCCCTGAACACAGCAAACGTTGGATAAACATGAGTAATCTTCTGATTAATGTAAAACATTGACTTTGCAGTTGACATTGTTAAATCACTCATTTAAATTTGGTTAAGTGAAAATATTTGACTTCTTAATTGCTCCCAGGCTGAATGGAATAAGATAAGGTAAGACTTTATACATCCCCGAAGGGAAAATGTCCCAATTTGAAAGGCTAAAAGCACAAAGTCTGTGTAGATTTAACCAGCCAAGGCTGTCCTCAGAGGCACTGACAAAGCAAATTGGATGGGCTTCTTCAGAATCAACAATGAGCCATGAACCTGGAGGAGACAAATCAAAACTAATGGGAAGTGCTTTTGAAATGGAGTAGAAAAGGTGCTTCTTTGCACAAAGGGACAAAACCTTTGGAACAAAACAACTGACCACGTTTTTGAAGCCAAGACCTTCACGTCTGTCTAACAGATGAGATTCTCGGATCAGTTAGCTACTATCACCCAAAGAAGCTAAAGGGACTCAATTGGCCTCTACTCCTTCAAACATGATTTTGCTGTATGTGTAAGTTCTGGGCTACAAATTTGCTTCCAAGGAGCAGGTAATCTATTTTTATCCCCTAAGCAATCTCTTATGCTTTTAAAAGAGTATGTAACTTTTTGACCATTTTGCCAAAAATATAACATTCAGATATTTTTTTGAAAAAATGTAGCACCACTGTGTTGCGGTCTGAAGATGTATGAAATGGTGAAGTGGCACAACCTAGATATTGACCAGTTTACCTCAAGAGGAGGTGCACAGAAAGACTGCAGTGAGCGATAGAGGGTTTGTGGCTGACCAGCCACTTGAAAAAAGAAGTTTTCAGTTCCTTTCTTCTAATTTGTTCTACCTTGGATATATAAGACGCAAACAGCAAATCATTGAAATGTGGACGAGTTTGCTCACTTACAGAGCAAACAGAATAAAACGAAAGATGAATAAAAGTTTTCCTATCATTTGAGTCAATGAAATAAAGCACCTCTTGTGTATTTTTTTGCAAAGGACACAAATTGCAATTGCAAAGTATTTGCAATTTCACTGAATATGTAGGTAGCAATCAGAGAGTTGACAGAAGGCCAAGAGTATTATTACAGTCCTTTTGCTGCTAATATGCAGGAGGTATAACAGACATCCAATTAGTTTTAGTGCAAACTGGACCATGAAGAATTGTATTTAGAAGAGTGCCCTCTCTCGGAAAAAGAAATGTATGATAATCCATATCGATAAATGTAGAAAAAAAGCAGGATGTCTTTGGGCACATAATAATAATAATAATAATAATAAAAAACTTTATTTATATAGTGCCTTTAAAGGTGTCTTTTCAAAGCGCTTAAATAACATAGCTTATTAATATAGCTTAATATAATATAGTGCTTAATATAGCTTAATGCTTAATATACAGTAGCTGCTCTCAGTCTGTCTTATGGACAATTGAGTTCTGTACTTGGGCTGCAACTGTACTGTAAGTGGAAGGAAGGTTCTGTTGACCCCAAACAAACGTGTATATATATAGATCCTGCAAACCAATACGATACACAGCTCAGTTTATTTTTCCACCATTTTCCACTACGATGAATTCTACCGCTCTTGCACATCCTGCCTTGTTTTGTTAGTCAACACAGCATTGAAAAAGAAAAAAGGAACTGTTCATTCTCTGTGTGCCTGTTGACTTCAGGCCTTGTGCACCAGGCAATACAATGACACGACAGTGTTTGATTTATGTATGTGTGAATCTTTTCTCACCATCACGTTTCACAGACACGGTTAGCATTGTGTCGTTACACATCTTTTCCTTGTGTTCTGGATTTATAACTTGGCACATTTGGTCCGTTGTCGCTGTTCACTCTTCTCATATCCAAGGCAAGTGTAGCAACAAGCCTCTGTTTTGTGCCGGGGTTTTGATAGGCCTTGCAGAAAGATACCTTTGGGCCTTCATTAGCATAACAGTGAAAGCTGACTACATTCTTCCGTATGAGAGATGCAGGGAGAATAGAGCAAACCCAGGCACGCAGTCCTGGGGGACGTCTCCTATCACAGCTGGCAAACCCGAAACAAAGCTTTCTGAAGTAGAAGAAGCAGGTACGCCAAGCCAGGTTTAAAGACAGTTATTTATACAGTAGGAAATCTGATGCTTATGTTAAAGAACAAAGCCAGTAACTTAGAAGCTGCACTCAAGCATGAATCATTCACTATAGTAATGACCTCCTTTTGGAAGGGTTTGTCCTCTAATGCTTTTACATAGCAATGCTGGGTTTGGTCAATGGGTTTGGTCAAAGTATAGTCTTGAGCAAGTTAAACCTGTTTTTATTCCTTGTTTTATGGGTCAGTAGTAAATGTATTCCTTTGTCAGGAAAGTCAATGGGAACTAATTTCCATTGACGATGACCTGGAGAGGCATTTACACAACAGGGCATTTACTGGAGCAGTTTGTGTGAAGCACATTGGTTGACACAACATTGTCACACATAACCCTCCAGTCCAGAGTTTTAGCCTATATGCCACACTACTGTCTAATTTTAGATTGCAGGAATGTGTTTTTAGACAACCAAGACAGTTGAGAACATTCGCTTCAAAAGATTGGGCAAGATATTTCATATTCACCAGAGTCTTGTACTAGACCAACAAACAAATTGGTTTTATTTTCAGAATTTCTTCAAGTCATACTGTATCTCCTGTTATTTCAGCTCTCCCGTACATATTGTACAAGGACATGCAATATCCTCTTTGTTTCAGTAGGTAATTCTAACTATACCACTTCATATTGGGCAATTCTAACTATACCATCACAAAAAGTGCTAACTTGGGCTAACAAAAAGTGGCAAGATGCGTGGAATAATAACAACCACAGGCTGAAACAGTTTATCGACAAAGTATCTAACAAACCCGTTGGAAATGACCTGCCCAGACAAGCCTGGGTCAAGCTGAACTGACTAAGAACCGGACATGGCCGTTTCCGGGCCACCCTATACAAGTGGGGCCTCACTGATGACCCAATTTGCGACTGCGGCGACGGCCGACCAAATCCTTTACTCCTGCCCTCGCTTCAGGTGCCCCGGCAACTTCACCGATTTGGATGATGCCAGCCGTGACTGGCTGAGGCACCTGACTGTGACAATTTAACTGTGTAACTTCTGCAGGTTAAGCTCATACGAATAAATAAATAAACAAGAAAAAAAGACTAAAAAATGTTTGTCTGATTGAAACATAGGAACTGAGATATTTTTCTCATAGCAGCAAAACGAAATCTATCCATTGGACTGGTCCATGTGCCACTATTTGAATTTTTCTGTATATTGTAAACTAACACTGTAAAGTTTAAGCTGTTCTGAAATAGCTAGTCACCTAAAAATT